GCCTCTCATACTGTACTAAATGCCTCCTTTTCCCATGCTTCCCTCCCTCCTGCCATCCCTGGCTTTCTCCTTCCCCTTCTTCTCCACTCTCCTCCTTTTTTTTTCCTCCTCCTCCTCCTCCTCCCACCCTCTTTGCCTTCCTTTCTTTCCTTCCCATCCCAATCGACCCTACTCCTCCAACCTTCACCAACAACTCCACTCCCAACCCCCACCCCCTGCCCTGCCCTGCCCAGCCTGAGGATGAGGAGGCAGTAGAGGAGAGGGAGGTAGATGATGAAGATGAGTTTACTGATGGTGAGGATGACTATGAGCCAGAACTGCTGATGATGCCCTCCAACCAGCCTGTCAATCAACCCATTCTGGCAGCTGCCCAGTCTCTCCACCAGGAGGCGCGCAAGTGGTCCAGCAAGGTCTGCGCACGTACATGCACATGAGCGCACACACACAACCAGATGTGGGTCAGATAGTATTTGTACAATGAGCTCCTGGGAGGATCATGAAGTACTGTTTGACCCCATGCAAACACACATCCACGCATGCAAACGCACAAGAAAGGACAAAGAAACACCCTCTGGAGTACTCACAGTCTCTGAGGCTCTGCATCTGCCACTACCATGGAAACCTCCAACCAGCTGTGGCTGCTGTTTTACTGTTGTTGCATCACACTCAGACACGATTGACACGCGGTTATGCTGATGCCATGCTAAGGTTGCACTAAAAGTCAAAGATTGTTGGAATGGCGAGTTTGTTTGTTGCACCACATGGACAAACTGGTACTGGCTTCACTGGTTTAAACGGGGGGCCAGGCGCTCTGCCTCGCTGTTGTCAGTCACTCGTTGTCTGACCAACCTGTGAAGCCAAGGATGACAGTTTCCCAAAGACTCCTGAGTGATGTATCTTTGACGTTAGACTGCCTGCTTGGCCCAATAAGATCACCTGCTTCTGCTTCTTAGTCTCAGGGTGTGTACTGATCACTTCCAACACTGTGAACATCACCTCATGGGCACTAACCTCAGGTTGACTGTGACACACGGGAGACAGTGAGAACCTAAACACTGTTTCCCGCCAAAACTATGGATATAAATTTGGTGATAACGTGCACTGACACTGCATGCAGCTTCCTGCTGAACACGCTTTTAAATTTAACGCCTGTTTTGCTTTTCAATTCAAATACATTCATAGAAAGCAGCATTCGTTCAGTGTTTGGTAACACTGTTTTCAGTATCCTACGTTTTGATTATCATCAGAAAAAAAAAGTGTGGAAACATGACCCATACAATATGTTTCTATTGCATTCACATCTCTTATCCAAAGCCATGCTTCTCTGGAGTATCCTGCTTGCTCACAGATCTCACTGCTTCCTCCTCTCCTCCCTCCCGCTTCTACGCAGGGTAACGACATCATTGCAGCAGCCAAGCGGATGGCTCTGCTGATGGCGGAAATGTCTCGGCTGGTGCGCGGTGGAAGCGGGAACAAACGCGCACTGATTCAGTGCGCTAAGGACATCGCCAAGGCCTCAGATGAGGTGACGAGACTGGCTAAAGAAGTGGCCAAGCAGTGCACTGACAGACGCATCAGAACTAATCTGCTGCAGGTGAGGACACACAAACACAGGCTGAAAAGTCCTTTATGTCTTCTGTAGAGGTACTTTACATGTCTTTCTCTTTGCAAAGGTGTGTGAGCGCATCCCTACCATCAGTACTCAGCTGAAGATCCTCTCCACTGTCAAAGCCACCATGCTGGGACGAACAAACATCAGTGAGGAGGAGTCAGAGCAGGTAAACTAAAGCTGCACATAACTTATCGGGATGCACACCAACTTTTTCTCTCCTGATACAGCAACTTCAACGTCAGAGTATCTGCTGATTAGTTGGCAGCCTGTTGTATGATGTAACACTGAATTTTATAATGTATTTAAATGTAATTAATGTGGATCAGTCATGTCATGGCAGATACCAGATCCACTTAATATGGTCAGTATCGGTGCAAATACTGATTCATATTGGATTAGTGCATCCTTAATAACTTTCAGTGGTGGAAAGTAACGAAGCACATTCACTCAAACATTATATTTAAGAGCACTTTTGAGGTACATGTACTTTATATGAATATTTCCATTTCAATCTACTTTATACCTCTATTCTACAACATTTAAAAGAGAAAATTGTATATTTCTCCTCTATTCACTTGTACTGAATGTTTACACAAAGTTACTTGTTACTTTTCAGATACAGATTTCACATTAAAAAAACAAACATATTGTGACTAATTACAAAAAAGCAGTATCTAGTCAAATTTCTCCTCTAAACCTCTCAGATGGTTTCATTCAGATAACTTAGACTAACTATCTAAAAGTACATTAAGTAGTTTTACTAATCTACTAATGTAATACATGCAGTGTTTTTACAGGTTAATACATCTTCCACCACTGATAACTTGTTTTCATTTTGTCCCATCTCTGTTATTATTTACTGACTGCTTCACTTGTTTTCCTAACTAGGCCACAGATATGTTGGTCCATAACGCCCAGAATCTGATGCAGTCAGTGAAGGAGACTGTCAGAGAAGCAGAGGCAGCCTCCATCAAGATCCGCACGGATGCAGGTTTCACCCTTCGCTGGGTGCGCAAGACCCCCTGGTACCAGTAAACAGACCTGGGCCCTGAAACTAGTAACACTCTAAACTTGGCACCGACGGCGCACACCTCATGTAGAAGTGGCAATGTGCATATACGTCATGGGTGAACGTGCGCTTCTTCAAAGAGGAAACTGCAGGTGATTTTGATTTATTCTCCACTGTAGTCTGGGTGTGTGTATCAGGACCATTTGATTTGGTACCAAGCCGGTTTCATTTATTGGAGTGAATTCAGCTTTGCGCTCCAGTTCCCTTTATCTGTAACTTTTTAATATATATTTTTGGTATGTTGTGTTACAAGAGTTTATCCAAATCCCAGGTATATATTTTTTGCATGGAAATTTTTTCTATTTTCTAAAGGCAAATTATGACATTATCAAGATATTATCTCCTAGAGGACATTTACTTTTCCTTCATTTTTTTTCAGTGAGATTTTCTTATTGTCTATTGTATATACAGTAATAATTTGTTTTATGGACAACACTCAGCTATGAGCTTTATTCACTGAGTTTGACACTAAAGTGTGGAGTTTTGTGTGAGCTGATGACGGGCTCTCCTCTCCTCATGTTTACTTTTAGTAATAACACTGTTCTTAACTGTGGATCTACAAATTCAAAGGTGACACATCCTCACTGCTGTCTGGTGATGTTTATACTTGAAGAACTAAAAGGTCTTCTGGATTAAAAGTGTTATAACTCTTGGGCAAATGATAGAGTTTCAACAGCAATTGTGTAATTTGAAAAAAATATGTATGGTTGTCAATAAAGGTTTTTCTTTTTCTTTTTGTTGACTGCAGGAAGGTTGATACGTAATAGACATGAGGATTTCACTTGACAGTGGCAGAATGAGTGACAGTAAAGTAGAAGCCAAGGTTAGTTCAGGTGTTTTTATGTGTGTTTCGAGTTCTTTGTTTTTAATTTTATTGAACTGTCGCAGTGAACAATGCCAAAGGATTTGTTTTATTACTGTAAGCTTCATAAAGTTCTCTTAACACTTCAGATCCAGGTTATTAAAAAAACAAGACAGACCATTTTCTTTGGAGGCCCTGGAGTGTTTTGTGGTCTGCTATTTTTTTTTTTAACAAAAGAAAGAGAGAATATTTTTTCCCACTGTACAATGTATTGTTTGTTTCTGCGCTATCACTGTAACAGTTGAACTGTTGGGATTTCTTTTTTTCAAAATAAATCAAAAACAGTGATTTTAGACATCATCCAACATCCTGTTTTAGACGTTTCTCCTTGTAAGCTCAGTAGTCCCACTCTGGAGGCTCTAAAGCATTATTTTAATTCAGATTTTCTAGATGACCCCGGTGGTTTGAGAACAAAATCAATCTTTTAATTATGTGATATCAGGCATTGACGCCAGTCCAGTGGTCTAGTTTATTTTTAGGTTCGAATCAAAAAACTGTTTAAAAGGCGTGTTTGTGTCAGGAATAATTAAACAGCAGTTGAACAGGAAACTCAATATTACACGCAACCAGATCAGTGAATGCATATTTTCATTCCCTAAACAGTTTTATCACTTTTATTTTTGCTTAACAATGGCCGGGTAACTTTAACTGTTAAATGGAGAATTTGCCTGTGTGTATGTGTGAAGCCTCTTCACCTGGACTGCACAAGGGGGCCGTCCCCGTGATGGCTGGGGACAGAGCTCTGAATAGCAGCACAGAATGTACAACTGCATTTTCAGTTTTTATTTGGGCCTACTGAGCATGTAGCAGTCACTGACCCCTCACTGAGAGCGACAGGGTGTAGTTCTGTGTGTACTTGATGTGTTCATTCACACCCTGAATGTATTCTGATAGCTTCTAGCCCTGCCAACACATCTGCTGTGCCTTGGAAGAATAAAAGACTATAATTATGACTGGAGTCGTGCCTCTTAAGTCACTGCTACCACAACATAATACGAGTGAGTGTTGTGGGGGAACATGGCCTCAAACCGGCTTTGTGATCTAAATGCTAACAACAGCATGCTAACTCTCCTGCAATGACAATTTAACATGCTGATGTTAAGCAGGTGCAGTGTTAATCATTGTTGTTTAATACAATTTAGCAAGTTTGCATGCTAATATTTGCTAAGTAGTACTAAAGACAACGTACAGCTGAGGCTAATGGGGAGGTTTTGCATGTACTTTGTCATAAACCAAATTACTGTATAACTTTACCTGATGATGTTGTTACAAATGAAAAATCTGGATCCCCAAAGTCATCATGGTTCATCCTGAGGGGAACATGAACATGTGAACCACATTTCACAGCCACAAATGTTGAGATATTTCAGTCAGGTCCAAACTACTGGAATGGCTTAAAAAAAGCACACATAAACACATTATTTTAAAGCTTTTATAAGACATCTTATAGACTAAAATACAGATTCAACTTCATACAAGAGCTTTAAGTAGTATTTTCCACATGGACAATTGATTGTGCAAATGCTGTGCTGAGTTAAGAAGTTGCATTCAAGATTATGTGAGGATCTTGTAGATTTCTGAGTGCTTCTCATACAACTGTTCCCGACAGACTGCCTGAATCACTAGCTCATCTCTGGGCCCTGCAGATTGTTGTACTTCCTAAGTCAAATTTTGTACCTTAAATATAAGATATATTTACGATATACTTCCCTCAGTTCTTGAAAACATGCAGTTTGTGCTGTAGTGTGTGCTTTACAAAGCACTTAAACCTACTCATAGAAGGCCACATTAAGAGTGAATGCGTGCAAAAAATACCTGCACTAAAGACAGTGCCTCAAGATACACTGCAGCTACTCAGAAAGTAGATACGTTAGATTTTTTCAAAAATAAATGTGTGTATAAAACTGGCTACCTTTTATTGTGTAAAATGGTTTTCAAAGGCATTACTGCTTTCTCTTTAGGCAACATGCAAGTAAGATTGTGACAGTGTGTTGAAGTAGTGAGAAGCAAGGCAGTGAGCTGTGAGTGTCCCTTTTCAAAGTAAAATATTCCCCATAGGCAACACTCAGAGGGTGTTCAGCAAAAAAAAAAAGAAAAAGAAAAAAAAGAAAAAAAAATTTAAAAATTAAAAAAACAAAAGAGGAATGGTTCATACAATGCAGCACAATTAAACTGGATAGAAACTAATAGCACTTCAATAAGGTCACACTGATTATTAAGGCATCCCTTTTACAGGCCACAAATACCATCCAGTCATATATATGTAATGCCAAACACATAATAAATAACTGTTAGAATGCAAAATCGTTCATTAATAACAATGAGGCGGAGGATATATAAGACTTATTGGAGAGCTGACATAGCGGTGTGTGTAGCAACCTTGCCTCCTATTTGGCACATTGAATTGTTGACCTTTGGCCTCTGACAACTGACAATTATTACTCAGGTCCGCACTTGAAATTTCCCCGCTTTAGTCACATATTTGACCCCTTTAAACGGCTTGTACTTCTCTCCGTACATGTCAAGACGACTCACCTTCAGACCTGTGCAGAGGGGAGAGAAGCAAAAGTGTGAAACGGCTGGAAAGTGCAAAGCAACTACATCCAGAGAGAAAGAATGTGTCTAAAAAAGCACTGATTAGTTTAAGATTACCTGATATGGCCAGCTGCTGTATCTTTAGGTCGATGTTGAGTGAGGGGTTCTCTTCAGGTTTGGGGGCTCCAGCCTGCATACTCAGACTGCCTCTCAGGTTAGGAAGCTTCTGGGGGTTCAGTTTCCCAATGTCCCAGACCAACACCTAAGAAAACATAAACATGCTCAGAGCGAGGACAATGAAACAAAACAGATTTCATTTTTTGTTTTATTCTCCCTCTATCACTACAAGTTCTAATCAACTTTCCTTCATGACTATGTGCAAAAGGATAATTCATATTTTTAAAATAGAAAATCTCATGCTTTCACGGACAGTTTTAATGTTACATTGTCGACTAATTTAACACCTACAAGCTAGGAAGGTAACTTTGTTGGGAATCATTTGATAGTACCGAAAAAAAACTGAGCAGTGTGATGGACACTGAAGGCGTTCTAACCTCTCATTTTAAACACACCTACTTTGTCACTGCTTGGGGGCAACCTTGTATGTGGTCGGTTACCTTGGTAGCGAGGTCATAGGTGTAGTTTCCCTGTGTGGCTGTGAGGTTGGTACTGAGCACAGTTTTAGGCATGTGGACAGTGACCATAAGACCCTCCACCGTCTTCCCCATGGTCTGCTTGGGTCCGATCGTGATGTCCAGGCGACCACAAGGTCCCGTCTCAAAGAAACTGATGTTCTGCTTCACGTACACTGGAATGGCTACGAGGCTGAGGACGGAGACAGACAGGATTGAGCACAATGCCAATAAACAGAATAAACTGCACAAAAATAAATGCAAATTCATACCTGCTGACTAGTCACACATAAACTGATAGATTTAATTTCGCTTACTTCTGAGAGCTGACGTGATACGTCATGAGTGTGAAGTTCCCATCTGGCGGGATGAAAGAAAGGACACGCTCCGACTCCCAGCGCTTAAACCGCACACACGGGTGGAAACTCACGTCATCGAGAAGACGAGGATTCTGTCACCAAAAAAGCAGCAGCAACAACAACTGGTGACTTTTTACACTTGCAAAAACACACAAGCAGACCCCAAGAAACACAGTGCTACGGGGAAATGAACCCACCATAAAGGACAGAGTCAGGTCAGGCATCCCAGTGAGCCTTACGCAGGCTTCAATTACACCCTGGATCTCTGCAAATACTGTTGTGCCTTAAAGAGAAAGATTAAAGGACATGTAAACATGTTTAAAGAGTCACCACATCCAATTATATCCAACATTTGTGCCATGAATACACACTTCATCTACGGTGATCAAACAAGTGGCTGGCTGTACCTGATTTGTCCAGAATGGCATCTATTTCCTCTATCACATCAAAATATGCCTCGTTATTGGTGTATTTAACACCAGCTCGCCTCCATGGGATATTGGACAATTGCCCTGTTGGCAACGTATCTCCAACATTACTACCTCCTAGAAAACACACAAAGAAAACAAAAACATTAATGTGCACACAGGTTTTATTTCAAATTTGGTTGCTAGGACAATATATATCAGGGTGACATCTGTGTACCTGTGAGCGTGTTGACGACTGATCGCAGGATGGTGGGAGGCCTGATCATCTCTTTGAGGACGTTGGACTCTGTTGCTAGTGGAAAGCCATTGTCCAGCATCTCCTCCAACAGCTCGTACACCGTCACCACATTGTCCTTGATTATAACTTCTGAGCATTCTCCAAAGTAGTCCTGAGGATGTGGCATACTAATGTATACTAAATGTGCACATGCAGTACGTTCAATATACTGAATTTGAGAGTGTGTTGTTTCTGCAGTGAGTATAGAATAAAGCAGAGGTTCTCAAGCTTTTACACATCAAGGAACCCTAAACTGACACAAATTAGATCACGGACCCCCATCTGATAAGATTTTTGCTTTTAGATGTTTTATGACAGACAGTGTTTGAAACCCATGAACCAAAATAGTTATACAAAAAGAAAAGAAAATAATCATTAAATAATTAGCATTATTATTACTCTTTTCGCTGGGGACCCCCCTAAAGCACTCCACTTTGGGAACCACTGGAATAAAGCAACATACTTTACTACTAAAGGGGAATTTTGCAATACTTTCACACACAGATGTCGGCCACCCTAACTTCACACTGTGAAACCATGTGCTGTTTGCTTTAACATGTGGTGGTTGCGAGTAGCTCCTCCATTTCCTTTGTACATCGCACATGAGGAAATACTATACATACAGCAGCACACTCAAAAGCAAGTACACAATCAAGCATTTTTAGTATGCACTATACATCGACTTTGGAAGGCACTTAATTCTGTTGCTTTTCCAGTGTGAACACACGACACACTCAAAACACTCCTGTTCACACATCACACTAAAATGCATCATAGGTGATTTAAAAAAAAAAACAAAAAAACAAGTACAGCACAATAAAATCATGGTGGACACACTGCAGCTCAGTTCAACCAAAATATATACTGGGATCTGTTACCACATTTAGGCCGCTGCAGTGTGAATTAATTCTGCAACTAAATGATTATTTACGTTAGCAATTCATTTTATGATTACTTTCTCAATCAGTTAAACATTTGGTCTATAAAACATCAAAACTAATAAAAATGCCTGTAACAATTTCCTGTAGCACAAGATTGTGTCATCAAATTGCTCGTTTTGTCCAACAAACTCTCCAGAAGCTAAAGATTTTCAATTTCCTATTACACAAAACAGTGTTTCCAAAATGATTAGGCTTGTTACCTCATAAAACTAAGATGTGTCTACTTCATCGCAACTGTGAGAAGTTTACAAGTTACAACTTCTCACTCCGAATCTTTTGAACATAAATCTGTTTTTCACAACAACAAAAAAAGCAAGGACTGAGGATAAGAATTCAAACTTGTGTAGCAGAACTTTGTTTTTTCTATTTTTTAAACCTATCTAATGATGCATGTCATGAACCCCTCAGATTTATACTGTGACCTATAGGACGGGTCCCGTCCCCCAGGTTGGGAATCACTAATATAACATAAAGAATAGTTAAAACTAGAAAATCTTTGGCATTTTTGCTTGAAAACAACATTACTGATGAATCAGTTAGCTAAACTGTTGCCAATTATTTTTCATTCACTCAACTAATCGTTACAGCTCTAGTGTTTATATAGTGGTTCTCAGGCTGGGAGGGCTACGAGCCCCCGCTGGGACGTGATGTGGGGGGTGAAACTAAGTTGAATGAATATGATTTATGTAGGGAAAATAAAGAGAACAAGAGTTTGCTGATGCTGTTGTGCTGACTTTCATTTTACTAAAATTCAGCATGGATCCTTTTTTTTTTTATTAGTTGCTTCTTTTATCATTGATAATGACTGATAAATATCGTGGGGTGGAGGTGTGTGAACTTTTTTGCAGCTTCTGGAGGGGGGCATGTCAGAAGAAGTTTGAGAACCACTAGTATAACACAACAAGCCTTACAAATAGTGGGATATGGCTAAGAAAAGTTTTTTTTTATATATATATATATCTTTCACTGCATGATTCTCTCTAGCTGTATGCTTAAGAGCAAATGTGTTCAGCAGCAAATGCAATTTCCCACAAAATAATTTCAGGGGAGTAAAATGTACCATCTAGACCACATCTACACACAATCTGCTCATACAGGACACAAAAAAGAAGTCAGACTTATATATATACTGGCATCGAAGAACAAACCTGAAATGTGTCTGCCACTCTGTGCAGGAACTCAATGACAAACAGTGGAGGCACCTCAGTCTGGATGACAGAGAGGAAAAAGAGCTTTCCCCTGTATATGCTGATGAGATAGTGGTGCGGGGTCTGCAGGACGGGCGGCACATTCTCCGGGTCGACTGCTTTCTCCTTCGCCTCGAAAAAGTAATCACACACACTCCGGCTGATGACACTCTTCCAGTGTTTCTCCAGGAAGATGTCTCCCGAGTGATTAATCAGGAACAGACTGTGAATCATCTCAGCTGTAACAATGAGGCGGTTGTAGTTAGTAGTAGTAGTCCTCTGTTATTGACACAGAGGCATTACACCAGCGGTTTGTAAAAACTTAAGCCCTCATCAATCATTTGTTAGTCCACAAATCAAAACAACACAATGCAAATGTGATTGTTTTCAACATTTACATACTGTCAATATGTCAAACTTACTTCAACCTCAGGTAATTTAACCGGTTGGCTAGCAACCTGAGATTGGCAAGTTCCGACATTTTTTTTTCATGCATACTACCGCTTAAACAAAACAAACTCAAGGGCGACATGAAAGCACTAAACACAGGATAATGTAGACAAAGTTTTATCTATTGTTTAAAGTTTTACCTGCTTACTCCAGCTGACTGTGCCAAGAGTATGTTACTCGGTGCCAATATGGCAGAAAAGTGTGAGCTGCTGTGGAGACGCCTGCAGATCTAAGCACACGTAAACGCAACGTAGTCACGAGTACATGTCGACAAACCAAAACAATAAGTCCCAAACCCGATTAGCACAGTATTGACATATATTGTAGGCTGTTCAATATTAACCGACACCACTGTCAACCTGATCGATACTTTCAGAGCAAAGTTTAACGCTTTTTAATCAGGCGACGTTCGTGGGCAGCTTTTTCGTATTTTGTTACCCTGAGTAGAGCCTGTCAGGTGTTTGTGCTGTCCCTCTTTTCAGCATAACACACATTTTAGCTGCTCGGTGGGGATGTGGCAGACCAAATATCCTAAACCTGAACTCTCATGTTAGGTTTCAAATGTAAGAATGCAATCAGCTGCCATAATATCATGCAGACTTATATATAAAAACCTTTATCTGACCTTATAGTACAAAATCTTCATAGGAACAATTATTACACAAATTTAACAACACCAAAGCTACAACAACCAACATCTAGTATTTCAACTTAATTTGGAAATCTTTTACTGAACCTTAAAGTGAGATCCATGAGAGAGATATGCTACAATTTACAAAATAAAAATTGTAACCAGGGGCTCAAAAGACCAGCTCTAGTTGGGTCTTCACCAACTCCTAAGGGAAATATTTGTCTTTTAAACTACTAAATAGTAAATGCTCCATTATGTTCACCAACAATTATTACTTTGTCTTTCTGCAGTGTGGCGCTGGATATTGCACAGTGGAGTTTCCCCCCAAAAAACAGCTTGTAAACAATATGATTCTGTTGGCAAAGTGTTATTTACACAAATGTAGAATTGTAAAATCAACCTCCTGTAAAATCCTTAAGACAAAAATTCACTAAACTTCTAGACTCCTCAGAAATGTATTTTAAGTTAAACCTTCCACATATGTCTTGATTTATATAGTTTATTTTTCATAAACATTACTTACTTACTATTTGTATTTTACTCTTCATTAAAGTTACTATTTAAGCATTTCGTTTTTTATGCATCATGTGGAACACATTACACTCAAGCTCTCAGTTCATTTGAATAAGTGCCTTTCCTGTTTGCAGCTGCCTTGAATTAAATCAAATTTGAGACACTTTATTCATATCCTGCACTGCACTGCAATTTCCTTCTACTGTTTTACTCTTATTTTTTCTAGCCTTATATTACATTTTTATTATTTCAAATCCTATTTATGTGTGACATTTGCCACTGTCTTAATGACTTTTATGTCTCATGTAAATTCAGCGCTTTTTGGCCTTGTTGCTGAAAAAGGTGTTATACAAATAAACATCCCTTGCCGGGTCGCTGAAAAAGTGAGCGGCCACTTACAACTCAATGTAAGACTTTTGATTGGCGGAGCTCTGCCGCGCCTGCGAGGCAACACTCGGGGTACAAACTCCCTAAGATCTATTAGCACGACCGCATTTTCATACCGGTTAAGGTGATTGCAACGTGCTCCTGTCTTGTCAGCCATGGCTTCTGAAGAACCTAAAGCAAAGAAACTTAAACTTTCAGAGGAGGAGAAGAAGGAGTCTCCGACCAAACAGACTCCTGCCAAACTAAGGTGACCGAAAGATTAAAAAAAAAAACAAAAAGCTAATAAACTGGCTGTTGAGGAGACACGACCCTCCTCCGTGTTGTTTGAATGCTAATGTGCGCTCAAATCTTTAGTTTGCAGTGTTTACATGCATATATTATGAATGCTCGAGTTTGAAAAATATTGAGTTTCTTGAGCTCATTAAATATTTGTATGAACGGCGACCACGGTGGGGAGCAGACGTCGTTTGTATGGGACAGTGTAAAGTCTCTCGGTGCAGTTACCCTCCAACATGCATGTGCAGCTAATAACAGTTAGCTGGTTGTAAAATAGGGTGTCGGGAGCATTTAGACACCGCTGTTGTCCGTTTACTCTAGCAAGAAGCCTTTTGTTCAGGTGTGTGTGCCAATATCTAATCTAAGTTCAACGTGACTACCGCCTGCCCCTGCATGTTTTAAAGCTGCAGGAAAAAATACTTGAACTGATCCTGGGCGCTCCGTCCATTCAGTGCCAAGGATTGCTGCAGAGAAAGCTGGTCTGAGCCATCCTGTACCGGCTCCCAAAACAATGAATTGCGGAACAGTCACATGGTCGTGAATATGTAATGTTTTTTTTCTTCCTGCAAAAGTCTTATTCGGGCAAAGTGTATTATCCGGCTGAGACCTGCAGTTATATGTCATATATCATGGTGTCTCTGTCATCAGCACGCTCCTCACGGCGTTATTTAGCCTCAAAAGAGTGAGTGGATTGAAGCTAGACTCGGCAAAACAAGCCAATCACCAGATAGAGACAGACTGCCTTGGACCTTCCTCTTTCAGATGCCTCCAATCAGTCAGTCCCGAGTGGGAGGAGCTGTGGTTGCAGGGGTAAATCGATCTGCCCCCACACTGAGCTGAAATTGTGAAGTTTTTCAATGCTTAGCTCTTTCTGAACCGGTTTTTAGGTTGCTCAACAGGTCTGTCAGTACCTAGCTGTTACACAAAGAGAGGGACACCATGTCTTCTGCAAGGTAAGACCACGTTGACATACAGGGAACTGATCTAAATCCCGGCATTGGTTCTGGTTTAGTGTAATTGGCTGCAGAAGCCCAGTTATCACCTGACTGCACATTGCCAGATTTATATGCTGTAGGAAATTATAGTGGGGCTGTGGCATCTGCCACATAGGTTGATGCATTTTCTGTTTTTCAGCAGGTCACTCCCTTTGCATTTTCGAAAACCTTCTTCCACGTTGCATCTTCTCGCTGCATTAAATCTTGTCCTTGGGGTGATTTGTAGAAAGAAAGGCTGCAGGGGAAAATATGCTAGCACATGTTCATACGGTGGCATCCGTCCAACGCTGTGTTCAAAGACTTGCTCCATCTGGGGTTCTCCCAGAAACACAGATATGAAGGCAACGCCAAGACACAGATATGATGCATGTACTGTTAAATTGCCATACTATAATGGCTTGGAGCTTTTGCAGTAGTACTCACAGATCATTTAGTATTTGCTTATAGGAAAGTTTCAGACTCACTGGCTTTAACTGTTTACTGATGTGTAAGACAAGTTCCAGTGGGAATGTCATGTGTTGACACAAAGTGCAGAGGTGCTTGTCGGTTGCTGTCTCATTTTGTTGAGCCCCAGTGGTGGGAATCTCGCCATGCTGTTTTGAGAATAATGTTTTTTCGCTATCACAAGACTAGAATTTGCAACAGTATGCACTCAGTTGTTCGCCTCAGGAAAGAGCGCACTGAACAAATACAGAGAGACACAGCAGTGGGCTGTCCTCTCCTCCCTCGCCTTGCAGTGAATATCATAACATGGTTACATGCTTGACTCAATGGTTGTCTCACAGCCGACCACATTCATATCCTTTTGTAATATGAGTTGATGAGTGTTTCCAATTTATGACTCATATATGTGTTATTTCCGCTTTTCTGTCTGTGTTCTTCTGGGACATTTAAATCATGTGATGAAGTCACATGAAAACAAAGCTGTGGGATTTGCAAATTAATGGTCAACACTGGGATAGAAACCGAGAACACTCGATGCAGAGAGCAAACATAAATTTTCAACATAAAGTCCGTGAAATTCTTCTCTCTACAAACGAGGTCTGCTATTTTAATGAATCAACCAACCAGTTTAAAGAAGCTGTAACTGATTATAACTGTGACTCAACAGTTAAATTATTAAGAGCAGCTTCAGACAGTAAAGACAGACAGTTCAAGAAAACATGGATTGTACAAGATGTCTCCTTATTCCTGTCATGCCATTTTAAGTCAATGTCGAAAACACAAATTGATGGGAGATAGCTGTTAAGACCAAGCCTTTTAGAGCTGTGCTTTTCTTTTAACATGTGGCCTTTATGTTTCAGCGCTAATTCACTCTTTGGAATGGGAAACCCCTTATTGGACATCTCTGCTGTTGTGGACAAAAACTTCTTGGACAAGTAAGTTAAAGGACTGAAGCAGTGGAATAAAAATGTTGTCACTTAAACTATCGTCATCAGTGGTTGTAGTCCTCCCTGCTGATTGGCTTAGAAATACCCAGAGTGGTTGTAAACTGTGACCCAGTAGTTGCACGGGTGACTCCTCAAAAGTAAATTTAAATGAAAAATATTAACATTAATTCACATTTTAATATACATAATTTATACTGACCCTAGAATATATAGGTAAAAGAAATATTACAAATATGTTGTTGTATGAATTCTGCTTTGTTAAAGACTTGGAGCCTAAATCCATTTTTTTATGCTGCTGTAAAATCTCCATAAAGCACAGTCATAATCATATTAAGTGAAATATGTGAGGCCGACCATAAGAGACAGAGGCTCTATGATGTAATGTGATCAATGGAGATACAAGATAATGATGAGATGAGAGTGCAGAGCACAGGAAAGAGCAGTGCTTTCTAATGAGAGCTGTATGTCCAGCAGATACACTGCTTTAATATATTCTGAAATGAGACGGTGTATCCTACATTGCAGTGATTTGCAGTGGACTGTTTTCGCTGAGTGAAACAATCAGTGCCTCTCCCTGTTTTGTCTACATGTTCACATTACTAATGATCATTTATCAGCGTAGTTAAATCACATCAGCACAGCCTTAAATGCCATAAGCAGGATACAAAAAACTCAGGAATTCATCTTATTTTAAGTTTAATGTTGTGGTGCTGTAAAGGCAGTGACCCAGTAATTTTACCTACTTGCTTATTTATTTATTTATTTATTTATTTATTTATTCATTTAATGATCATAAGTAAATCACCATCAGCAGAAACCTTCATAGTCAGATTTGGAGTATTCTGGTCTGTCCGAGCTCTGTCACAGTTGACCAGGTCAAAGGACTCCTTTGGGTTCCAGCTCAGAGTCCGCTCTCAACTCCTTGCGTAAACCCCTGGATTAGAGCTAAACCAGCCGACCACAGCTCTAATTCAGTCTCACCTAGAATAAACCAGGACTAAAGCCGCACCGTAATCCCCAACCTACCTTTGACTTTCAAGGAAACTACTCTCTCTTTAGCATTATTTACCAACATGCTGATTTGAACTGAGTGATGATAGCGAGTAACAAAGGCATTCTCGCAGTTTCTCAGTGCCTTTCCCTGTGATGTGATAGCTGGAAATTTCATTAATCACATTTTCCACAGAAGTGACCAACCCATTTGGCAGCACTGCCATCGTGTCTGCAACGTTTACCCACATAAACATAATCCAGACTCTTATTGTGTGGGTTCGAATGAGCGGGGTTTGATTCAGATTATGTTTCTGTTGACTTGGAGAAACTAATGCCACATTTTTTCTCCTTTTTATCATTCGCAGGTACACTCTGAAACCCAATGACCAGATCCTGGCAGAGGACAAACACAAAGCGCTGTTCGTATCTCCTATACCTTAACATTTAATGTAGAACATAGGTTGTGAGAGAGCTCTTACACACATATGTCTGTGTCCTCATTGAGTTAGCTCCTCTCTGCTCCTGAGCGGGCCAGTCAAAACAGGCACACACCAGAAATCACCACAATTGACCTCCGTTCCTTTATAGATGGCCAATGGCAGAGCAGCAGACCAGGCAGAGAGAGGGTCTCAACCAATAGCAAACCAGGACACTTCACCTCCCAGTCCCTATGAGACAAGAGCCAGAAAGCAAACATTTAACAGCAGGAGATAAGAAAGTCATGAGTGACTGTGGGTGTGAGAGAGGATTGCTCTCATGTATTCTGACTTTACATTTACACTCTCTGTTATTTAGGATGAATGACAATTGACAGTTAAATTAAAAAAGATGGATGCAACTTTTGTATAACCACTATAGACTATTACATCTCAATATATATGAATCATTAATGTCAGGGGAGATTTTTTACTCATGATGTTGTCAGGAGCTTAGTGGGTAGAGAGGGTGACTTAATAAGTGCAAGTGGAAATACTTAAGGGACACAATGAAACAATTTATTTATAAAAAAAAAAAAAAAAAAAAAAAAAAAAAAAGAAGAAGAAAAAATAGAAAAGGTCGCCCACGTGTCATTTTTTTCTCCATCTCCCAGATGTCTCCTCTGCAGCATCTGGCTCAGTCTCAGGACCTTTAACAGCAGTCGACCTGTTATACTGTCCGATGGAACATTTGAACGACTTCTCTCACACATTCTCATAAACCCACACAGATGTATGTCCGTGTGCGGGATGATATGACTGCTATATTTAGATCACATAACATGGCGAATGAGAGAGCCCTAAGCGGAACATCAAAGCGCTGCTTCAGTCATTGTGTTATGTAACGGGCGTAAATGGCTCAAATAGTATAATCAATGATCAGTCATGCGCATACTGTATATTTTACCTTCAAGAAATATTTTGAGAATAGAGTACAGTCTGACACCAGATGAGGTTACCGGCCATCAAGCTACATCCATCACCATGCACACCACATGGGTGGACACAATAAAGCTAAGCTAACAAGTACAGGCTGTAGCTTATATTTTCTTTACATCTAATTCTAGGCAAGAAAGCAAGTAAGTGTATTCAGCAAAATGTCGTAACTATTCCTTTTACAATTTGGCGAAGCCTTCAGCGCCAAACAGACGCATTTTGGTCATTACTCAAAAATGTTTAATGTCAGTACCCGGCCATAATTGATACTTTGTCTGTGGTGAGGTTTTAAACCTTGAACTCATTTAGCACTCAACCAGCATCCCACAGAAAGATATTGTAGGCAGGGCTTTCCACAAGGATATGGAGTAGCCAGCCAGTGGGAAAAATGGCCAGCTATGGTGGTCCGGGGTTTTCCCTCACAGAAAAACTTTGGCCGCAAAAGCTCGAGTATGGGTCCCTGATCTTAATTAGTGTATATTTTAATGAGTTTGCATACCCGATTGTAAACATGTAGTGAATTATTGTTAAAAAAAGAAAACTTGGTACATATACTGTATATTACTGCAGGAAGTTCCATTATGTCATACTTAACACATTATTGGTCAAAAGCAAAAAATATAAAAGCATTTAAGACATTTTAAACTGAAACTAAAATTACATTGTGAGGCTGAGCAATAACCTGTAGACATGAGTCATGTTCGTTGATTCATCGAGTGGCCTGTCTAATGAGGAAGTCCCCTGACTGTGCAATCGATGTCGTTCTTAATGTGTTTTGTCATCAATTGCTTTGTTAATATTTGTCACACAATGAAGACAGCTCTCTGCTCTCTACTTGGCGGGACACAACCTCTCAGCGGATTGCACACACAGTCATAGAGCCTGTGGGGGCAGGATACAGACAGGCACGCTTCTCTGTTGTCATGCTGGCATTGTTTTGAAGTGATGGGTAGTAATCAAAAAATTTAAATGCACAGCGAATCTCAACAAGTACTTACAATTATGGACTTAAATGAGTAGTCGGCTGTTTGGCTGCAGCCAGTGTTTATCGAAAACTCTGTAGGTTTCAGTTTTGCAGAAGTGAACAAATTTTATGTATCTTCCTTTTGAAAATATGAATTAGAGGAATGGCATGTTTGTCTCTCTTTGTAGATTTGATGAGCTGGTGAAGTTGAAAGTTGAGTACCACGCTGGAGGAGCCACACAGAACTCTATAAAGATCGCTCAGGTCAGTCATGTACACACAAACTCACTCACTTCCTGTTCTGTCACCACATAAATACTTTGTGAAATTTTTGCTGTAGTCAATCGACCAGTGCTGATCAGAGCTGTGTTCTGTAGTGGATGATCCAAGAACCCCATAATGTGGGCACGTTTTTTGGCTGCATTGGCAAAGACAAGTTCGGAGAGATCCTGAAGCAGAAGGCTGAAGAGGCTCACATCGACGCCCACTACTACGAGCAAGATGAGGAGCCCACAGGATCGTGCGCCGCTTGCATCACCGGAGATAACAGGTGGGTAATCAAAAAAATACACATTTGTTTACTCATTATAATCTTTATCCGTCTGTAACTCTCCATCTCCGTTGTTTTCTCCTCCCAGGTCTCTGGTAGCTAACCTAGCTGCTGCTAACTGTTATAAGAAGGATAAACATCTAGACCTGGAAGAAAACTGGAAGCTGGTGGAAAAAGCTAAAGTCTTCTATATTGCTGTGAGTACTGTGCCAAACCAATATATGGTGTGTTGTGCCATTTACTTATGATATTCAGGTCAACTCACGTCCTATCACTTCACCTTTGTACCGATGTGTGGCCATCAGAGGACCCACGGGGGGATTTCCAGACATACTAATGTTCATTAGAGCCCATCAAGATATAAAAATCAGATCAGTCTTGACCCAGTGTCCTTCCTTCCTTCCTTCCTTCCTTCCTTCCTTCCTTCCTTCCTTCCTTCCTTCCTTCCTTCCAGGGTTTCTTCCTGACTGTCTCCCTGGAGTCCATCCTGAAAGTGGCGAAGCACGCATCTGAAAATGACAAGATATTTTGCCTGAACCTCTCTGCTCCCTTCATCTGCCAGTTCTTCAAGGACAACCTCATGCAGGTTATGCCCTACGTTGATGTGCTGTTTGGCAATGAGACGGTAAGCCAGACTTTCACTGCACATTCTTCACATACCCTCTGTATTGACCACACATGCTTGTGTGGTACTTCATGCACGTATTTATGTAAAATATAAATCTTGGCTGATTTTTTTTTTTGGTTCCTCAGGAGGCAGCTGCATTTGCTAAAGAGCAAGACTTTGAGGTGAGTGGACTGATGGTCTCATTGTGCATTTGCACATCTCTAGTGCTGCAATTTCTTGTGTATTATGAACTGGTTGTGTTAATGCGTATTTTCTCTGTAGACCAAGGACATTAAGGAAATTGCCAAGAAAGCCCAGGCTCTTCCCAAAGACAACACAAAGAGACAGAGGATTGTAGTGTTGACCCAAGGGAAGGATGCCACCGTTTTGGCCTCAAGTAAGATTTAATGTTTTTCTTTCTTTCTTCTTTCCTTATATTACTTTAATTTCTCCCAGTGTCTTGTCCTCTTGTAGACATATGCTGTAGAAGTCAAATTTTTCTTCTCATGTCTGTTCAGGTGACAAGGTCGAGACCTTCCCTGTACTGAAGATTGACTCCAAGGACATTGTTGACACAAACGGTGCTGGTGATGCCTTTGTAGGAGGTAAGGTTTCCATGTGTTTTCAGGTGATAACATTACTTGATTGCTTTGAGTCTTTCCTGTGTTTTCTGTGGATTTCTGTGACAGCGTTTCCTCTGCGATGCAGGTTTCCTGTCTGAGCTGGTCCAGGAGAAACCTCTGCATCAGTGCGTGAAGGCCGCACACTACGCTGCCAATGTCATCATCAGACGAGCAGGTTGTACCTTCCCAGAAAAACCTGATTTCAACTGACACACTTCCGGACAACTTTTCCTTCAGCCCGAGGCCTCATGCTCACCCTGCCATACATCAACTGTCTGACACATAAGCTCCACTATTTTCTACAAATAGTACCCTCATTTTTTTTTTTTTTTTTTTAAATCAGCCACCCGTCCATGTTATTTTTCAATCCATCCACACGTAATTTCTCACCAATTGTTGGTTTGGTGCCCTGTCTCTGTGTCCTCCACTTGGTGCCACTAGAGGATCATGGGCCAATACAAGGATTTATTCATACATAAATGACCATAAAGGACTCACGATTACACCACAGAACGGGATAATTTTGGATCTAATAGAGAAATCATGCTTTCGTAGACAGGTGTTTTGGGATTGTTTCTCATTGTATTTTGGCTCCGACACTGCCAGCGTCTGCCGCACTGAAACCGATCACACTCTGCTCCGAATTCTCAAGTTGACGTCTCACAAGTCTGTTTTTTTTTTTTTTTCTTCCTTCCTTCCTCCTTGAGACAGAATCAAAGCGCAAGAGGCTGATTCCACAATGGGAAGGACACATTATACACAAACAGAGGAATAAAGAATAGTGTCAGAGGAGGTTTTTGGATACGGCGTTGAGAATGTGCAGTAGTGATTTGTTTTAGATTTTTTTTTAAGATTAATAATTCCTAAATATGTGTTGTTTAGTTTTTAATTTAACAGGCCAGTTACTAAAAACCAAATGTTTTTCTTTTAAGTGCACACTTTTTAAATGTGTTGAAGCCTTTGCCCACTATGTCCTGTGATCACTGTTAAACGTCACCTGCAATGTGTCATTGATACTCAGAAGTTACCTTCAGTGTCAGAATTGTGGAAGTTTGTTTTGTTCGGGCAGGTGCTTCTAATAACGAGTGCCTTTTTTTTCCTTTCCGTGTCTGTAAATGTTGCTAAGTTTGAAATCTTGATGAGCAGAGGCCTACATGTGAACCTGTATTTGTCTGTGCAGGAAAACTTGCAAGCTATACCCGTGATGGGGAACTAGTGGCTTGTGTGGCTGAAAATGGGAATGTTACATCTTTGAAATGCATGTAAGGTAGCTGGCATTGTTGGAAAGAGATCATTATATTCAAATGTTCTCTGTCAGAGGAATACAGTGGGCATTAAAATTGACCTGTCCTGTGTATTACCTGAATTAGTGGCCTGGTGTTGTTTCTGGGTGTGTCTTGATCTTTTGCAACATCATAGAAAATGCAACCCAGCTTCAGCTCTGTCAGCTTTCCTAAATCAGACTTGAATGGAGTGGAAATACATCATCAGATTTTAATATTTTTGTTGCTGCTGGCAACTGCTGCAAATGGCAAATGAAAGACAAAAAAGAATTTGGGTGGGAATCAAGGATGTGAGCTAAATTCAGCCTTAGACTTTGATGCAAGACCAAACATTTCAAACAACCTGAGTTTTGTGATATGTTGTGGTCTGTGCAACACACAAACATGAATTAAAATTTTCTGAATATAGACATACTGTAAAATGTCATGATAGAAAAGAAACCTGTGCAGTTGTCAGAATACTACAAGAGATGTTTTGAAACTTGTGTATCTGCTAGATGTAAAATAATGTGTATTGTCCCTCCAGTTAATAGGCTGCTTCTTTATTTGTTCAAATACACCAAAAAGCCTCATGTGACCTTTTATTACTGGTCTCAGCAAAACTCAAGTTGCACATCTGTGCTAGACCGTGATGCCTAAAACTGACAAATAAAACTTACAAGGTTGATCTTATTTCTTATTCACTTTTCTGTCTGGGTATTTTTATTGAATATTTAACAACACTTTTAGGTAGTTTTATGATTCCCTCTGAGAATTTCCTTAGAAAAATATAATCCGAGGTAAGTAATAAGAGATCCACAGCATGTACTTTGCAAATCTCCGACTTCTTGATTACCATTAAAGTCCACAGTGCAACAAAATGCTTCAAGTCCGCATTAGTCAGTGAATATTGGATTCAATTTCTTACTCCTCATTGTATGCTGTACATCTAATCAGCACAATAACACAAGTAGAGCCATTTCAAGTCAACGGCTACAGCGCTAAAACATGATTTGTGGTTAAAAAATTTCTACTTACTGTGCTGGGCTGTGACCTGCAAGCGAAACCTGTCATTACACTTTCAATATTCACACACTTTGCAGATGTTTTCATCCCATCAGTTTTCTGAAAAAAAAAAAAAAAAAAATATATATATATATATATATATATATATATATATATATATTTTAGATGTAAGATGGTGGAGTATGAGGCAGTGCTGAGGAAGTATCAGTGAGTGTAAACCATGGTTTGGTATATCTGAATCAGAATCACAGTTCTGCTGCTGGACACAGACACTGACCTGAGGCAGATGTGATTATTTCATTCTTATCTATACCGGGACATTTCTGCCCATTCTCTGGTCTGAATCTTTAAATTCAATTAGTACTCGCGCTGGCCTGTAGTATTCACTGAAAAAACATCACTAGGCCCTTGAGGGCACATTTGACATTTGAACTGTATGAGACCAACATGACTCATACAGCTGTTGTGAAAAACAGCAGAGTTTATTGCTACAATAGTTAAAGAAACATAAAGAAGACTTTTGTATACCTGAGATGGATTCAGGGAATAATGAGAGTTGTATACACTGGCATATTATTAATCTATCATGTGCTATTGGTCTTGCATTTGTCTTTTTTCTCTGAGCCTCTCCTCTTGTAACGTGATGTCCAGGGCTCTGAGCTGTTTTAGGAATCCATGATTGGGCAAGATACAACGCCGCTGTCGCACATGCTCAATAGCATCCACCACAGTTAGGCTGTGTTTCATCATCAGGTATGCCAAGACCAGAGTCGCTGACCTGCTCCGACCCATTACACAGTGCACCAGCACTTTGTCTAGGAAAAAAGTCAAATAATATGGATTCAGCACAAACAAACGAGTGAAGCATTCAGGTTTTTCCAGAGAATGACTTTGATTTAAAGTTTTGGTTTCCTCCAGGACTCACTCTGTGGGTGACTGAGGGCCTCGTGGATGAACTGGGCTGCAGGGCAGAAGTACTGGGAGATGTTGAAGGTGGGTTTGTCATCAGCCTCTACACCGTAGTACTGGATGTCTATGTCACCGTAGTAATCAGCACCAGTCAGCACATTATTAAACTTCCCCTCTGCAGCATTCAGGACATGTGTAATACCCAGATCCCTCAGGCCGGGCCGCTCCAGAGCCGTTTTCCTGTTTTCATGAAACACACAGACTCAGTATGAGGCTATCATGAATTTTGACACTTGTACTGCAGAATTATGAAACCATCTCTGTGCATTTACTCACTCATCCCCGATGTAGACGCTGGGCCAGACCTGGTTGACATGGGCAAACTGAGCCCCACTCCCGCTCCAGAACAGCTGCTCCAGGTCTAATGTTCCTGGTGTGATGTAATCGCTGTCTGGGTCCACCTGCACCGCTGCGTACGGGTTTTTACCTCTGGACTTCACCACACAGGAGGACATGTCTCACCCCTGCTGCCCAGAAAACACACACATCCTGGAACTAAATCAAAAACTGAAATAACATCTGCACATTGTTATCTGCTCAAAACTAGATGTAATATTAACACCTATATATCATATACAGCCTTAGAGCTGCAATGATTAATCTATTTGTCAATTAGTGAATTAGTTGATCAACAGGAATTTAATCAGCAGCAATTTTTACAGCTGTTTAATCGTTTGAGTCACTTTTAAATATTAATGACAAAATTCACCAGTTCCAGCTTTTTAAATGTGAACAGTGCTGGTTTTCTTGGTTTTCTTTCCATGACATTAAACTTAGCTCAAACAATCCCTCAATTAATGAAGAAAATAATAGACAGATCAGAATCATTAATGAAAATAATTGTTAATGGCAACCATATACAGCAATATACAGCACTTACCTATGGCAGACATATGGAGGATCTGTTTGACTGACATATTTAATTTTAAAAAGAATTCAGAAAATTATCAATTTCGACATAGATTTAATTATTAAGGATTTATACAGAACTAAATAAAACAAGTACATTAATTAAAGCTGCATTATTATTAGATACATAAAACCAGTGTGATAATATAGTTTTAAATTTACAATAAAGTTAGAAATACAGTTTTTTTTAAAGTGAATTCATTGTGATTTCCATTCAACAGCTCAGTTGTCAGTGCACTGCGGTGCTCTGGGGTTTGTGATAAAACTTCATTCATCAGCTGTTGGGCAAAATAAGAGCTTCTCTCAAACAAGTTCAAGTGACAGGCAGTGAGTTATAGTTACATATCATTTGTAACAGCAAGAACTCACTTATATGACTGTGGTAGCATTTTACTATTTCATAAAGATACTGGCCTGAACTATCAGGCCAAAAAATACAAGTACTATGGCAGGAAAACATCACTTACCCCTTCCTTGTAACTGTTAAAAGTTATCCGTTAATCCGTTCCTGAGCGGGATCACTGACCAGCACCTCCACTTTTCCTCAGTGGACATGTGAGAATGTGTGTTTGTGTGCGTCTGCGGCCAAGCAGCATGAAAGCAGAATGCTAACTGCTCTCTCCGGCTCTGTGTTTAAGATGATATTTTTAGTCAGCTGGGCTACAACACCTGACTTCAACAACTTGACACACATGCACGCACGCACACACTCACAGATTCTTTCTCACAGCCTTCCTAATGTGATCTGAATCCTTTAATGTGACAGCGATTACTTTTCCTTTAGCCTGCATGGTAAACAAATACACTGCATCGTGGGGCACAATGCCAAAAAACAAGAAGAAGTTTTAGTAAGAGTGGTATGTTGCATGGTTTTCATCATAGGAATGTCACTAATGTGTGGACAGGTGTGGGGATCAGTTAGCATTTGTCAGGGCAGTTATTTCTGGAGACATAAAACTTAAGCATTCAGTTGTTATATATCACTAATTGTTTCTGGGCAGAGATAAGCTACGAGGCTGAGACAGGGACTGAGAGATGACACACATGACATTTCTATTTGTCAGTTAATGTGAATTCCAATAAAACAGGTGTCTGTGGTTGTTATCAGGACATGTCAGCGTGTTCCTCTTCCTCTGTGAGCTGTCTGCTCTGGGGCCTGAGGCTCAGATCCAGCTGTCTCAGCTGCTCCAGAAATCCAGAGTTGGGTCCAATGTCTCGGTTCAGACGCACAGCGATGATGGCGTCCACTAACGTCAGGCTCCGGCAGATCATCAGATACGCCAAAACCAGAGCTCCAGAGCGACTGACACCCATGGCACAATGGACAAACACCTTCCCTGGAAGATTCATTGATTATTAGATTTAGTAACACTAATTAATTGATTAAAATGTTCAATACAAGAATGTACAGACCTCTTCGTCCCAAAGTTAATTTGTCTCATCTATTCATAGCCCACAAGCAGAGAGGTCAAAAATTCTCAAATCTAAAGGTATAGATACCAACACACACTTCTGAAGATTCTTTCTCCAGAATATGGCTGCATAAAATACATCCACAGACAGGTCACATGACATAGCTGAATACACCAAACACTATGTGTGATATGCAAGTGTTTGTGTGCTTAAATTACGTCTGATAAATGAAAACCCTGACTGTTTACAGACCCTTTTAACAATGCATGCATCATGATAATTCACAATTTGTGTTAAAAGTGTTAAATTAATGGTGAAAAAATAAATATTACAAGAGTACATGAGAGAGCTGACAGGACAAAATAGAATGAAGATATAATGTCTTCAGATTAAAGACTAGAGTGAAGGAAGTGATGAGTAGAGTGAAAGAGGAGGAGGAGGGAATCATTGCAGCTGAAGTCGATAAATAGATGAAGTTCAACATAAAGAGAACAAGAACTCATTGAGATTCTTATTAATGAAGATTCATTAATTGTGCATTGTGCAACATTAATTGTGTATGAGCTTGTTTGAAATTCCCTGACGTGTTTAAATAGGTTGGTATTAGCAGAAATAAAGCAGGAACTAACCTTGTAATACATTTTTATTTTATTTCTCACTATATTTTAGACGTGTTTGTCTTTGTGCAGTTATGTTGCTCTTTACGTCATGAATTCGCCCTTGCTGTCATGTTTGCACACTGACCGTTTTTCTGAAGAGCACTGTCTATGAACTGTGCGGCCGGCCTGAAGAAAGGCTGGATGTTAAACTGTGGATGGTCTGCAGCCTCAACACCGTGGTATTCTACTCCAAGGTCACTGTAGAAGCGCTGGCCCGTGTTGATCCGGTGTCGACCTGCTGCGGCGTTCAGTATGTGAGTCACACCCAGAGACGAGAGTCTGGTTTTATCTCGTGCCACAGACCTGCAGACGCACCCCACACACAAACTGAGTTGTTGTAATATCTTTTTAGAACATTTCGAGATGCTGGATGTGACTTTTCTACTTGCTCGTCTCCGATGTAGAGGTTTGGCCAGACTTGATTGACAGGTGCCACTGGCTTCCTGTTTGTCCAGAGAATTTGCCTCAGCTCTGTCAGAGAAGGTGCGTCCTCCTCCTGGGTTAAGTGACCTCTGTAGCGATAAAAATGTGTGTGTGTGTGTGCATATGTGTGTGTCTGTGTGCATATGTGTGTGTATATGTTGATGTTTCTGGCTTTGCGTGTGTCTGTGTGTGTCTTTACAGTGTTTGGGCCTGTCGTCGCCTCCTCCTCTCCCTCTCCAGGCTCATGTCGAGGCTGCGGAGCTGCTGCAGGAAGCCTGGGTTGGGGGAGATGTCTCTGTGCGGCCTGACGGCGGCCACCGCCTCCTGCAGCCTCAGGCCCTCAACAATCATCAGGAATGCCAGCACTAAGGTAGCAGAGCGGCTCACACCCATCAGACAGTGGACAAACACCCGTCCTGGGACAGGGACATTTGCTGTTATTATTTAATATGTTTATTTGCTGAGGTCATAATTAAAGACTAATTTCAAATCCAGTCACACACACACACACACTCCGATAACTGTAAGTGTGACTGACTTGCCTCCCATGGCCAGTGCAGCTCTGATGTATCGTGCTGTTGGGTAGAAGAAAGGACTAAGGATGAAGTGTATTGCATCGTCAGCCTCCACCCCATAATAATCCACTGTCATGTCTCTGTAGAAACGTGGGCCGGTGTTGACATGTTGACTTCCATGAGCAGCATTGACAATGTGAGTAATACCCAGACTGTGGAGAGTGCCCTTGTCACGAGCCGCCACCCTGAAACACAATCACACATTCATTTCTGTATGAGTGAATATAGATGCACTGTATGTGTGTGCATGTTATTGTGTGTGAACCTACTCGTTGCCTATGTAAAGGTTTGGCCAGACTTGATTGACATGTCCAGTGGGTCTTCTGTCTGCTAGCAGGAACTCCTGCAGCTCTGAGACAGAAGGAGGTTCATATGGTGGATCCCTAAGAGACACACTGTAATAGCACACACACACACACACACACACACACACACACACACACACACACACATACACACACACACACAAGCCTTCATTATGTATGAAATATGTTCTGTAAATCTTAAAGAAAGAAAAAAAAACAAAAGTCTAAGACACTGCTGCTTCTCTTAACAACACAGAGATCATAAATCATCTGAAGTGGTGAAGCCAGAGGTGTTTCCACTCTGAATCACATGAACTTACCTCACTTCAAGACAGTGCAACCTCTTCTTCTACCGCGCTCGCTCTTATTTCTGTGTACACGCTCACAGCCACACACACACACATACACACACACACACGACTGTGTTTCCTTTTATAACTCTGTAATCATACACTCATTAGTGACAGACACATCCTGCAGACTCTATTCAGGCACTTTAAAGCACATTCAAGCTGTTCTACATGCCCGAACTCTCATTCTTATGGACAACAATGTGGCATTATCCCATTAACTTTAACATGAGCTCACTTGCTTAGTTTCCATGATGACTGCAGACTGTTATGTAATACACCACTGTACCATATGTGTCCCTATGTTGCCACTCAGGAGCCAAGTGACATCTGCTGCTCTGCTCCTTTAAGAATTATTGATCAAGGCTCTAATATTCATTTACAATGTACAATAAAACTGAGTGCAGTGGGCAAAATCACTAAAATGTCGAATCAAAATTGTATTATTTTTTAATTGTAGGGTATTTGATCTTATGTATAATTAGAAACAAACACGTTCGACTGACTACACTGAAAATACAGGCCCCAAAGTACAACCCCAATGCAACAAAAGCGAGTTTACCTGTGATCACTGTAACAAAAGGGTTTACACCTGTGATCTCCAGTTAAGACTAACTGCATGAACGAGGTTGAAAAAGAAATCCGTGAACACCACAGCTTCCTCAGGTTTGGCCTGGGTTCTGTCTAATGCAACATGGCTCCATGTGATGAGGAACAGCTTATAGGTAAGAAACCAGACTGTGAGACTTCACAGCGATGGGAGAGCGTTCAAGAGCAGCAGCAGGCTACTGAACATAAGGTGAAACACAGATGCAGCAGTGGTCGGGAGGTGTAGGAAGAGCCATACTACCAATGACAGATGGTTATTCTCGAAAAATGACGCCACAATAGCCATTAGCTATTTGCACAACCTTGCACTGAAGAACAAACGGCTAAGTCTCTCTGATTTAACCCAAGAATTATCTGTGGAAATTGGTGTTTCAGTGACTGATTAGAGCGTGTGAAGGACATTGCATGAAGTCAGTCCTCTACAGACAGCGTCCAAGAGGAAAACCATTACTCACAAAACTACAAGGTGAAACTTTGCCAACATGAAAACAGACCCAGTGAATGTTGGCATCACATTCTTTGGTCAAACGAAACCAAATGAGTTTGTTTATATCAGATGGGGTCCAGAATGTTTAGTGTGGTTTCGTCTGTGAAACATGGAGGTGTGAGTTATGGGGCCACATGAGTGCAAAAGGTGAAGTGGAGGTGACATTTATAGATGGCGATATGATTGAGTTTTTATACGCAAAGATACTGAATGAAAAGATGATTCCCAGTTTCAAGAAGCTTAACAGGAGAGGAATTTTCCCAACATTCATACCAACAATGATCCCAGACACAAAAATTACATAAGAGTTTGTAATGAAGAAAAAAAGTGAAAACTATGACCTGATCACGGAGTGCATGTCGTCTTGACTTGAATTGAATACAACACCTTTGGAGTATTTTAAAGTGGACGGTAGGGCAGAAAAGAGCAGCTGAAAAGAATCATTTAAGAGGAAGGGCAGAACATCTCTCCACAGATTTGTGTAAGATTGGTTTCATCCATACCCAAGAGGATCAAATTTGTCATCAAAAATAAAGGCGGACATACAAAATATTTCAAAAAATAAATGAATTGAAGGATGTCAATATTTGGTTTTTAAATATGAATTATATTCAAATATTTTGGTTCTTAAATATAGACCTTTTATTGTAGTTTAATTATTCAAACATTAGCAGCATCTTAGGCTGAAAACAAATAAGGTTGTATTAATTGGACATGCTTTATATTACTTAACGTTTAACTGATATTGACCATGTTGTTGAATGTCATCTTTTCTTTGTTGCTTGTCGTTATTTATTATCCCACTTTGTTTTATCAATAATTCAAAATGACGTCTGTGGAGTCCACACCGAAATTTAGAAAGCTGAGGTTATTCACCTATCAAACATTTCGTTTTTTTGTGAAAATGAAATTTTACTTGGTTTCGTCGGCATAGTAAAGAAAAAGTGAAAAAAAACAACGCCACAAGTGTTGTCCATCAGAGAAGACAGATTCTTGTTGATACATAATGATTGGGCCAAAATGAAAAACAAATTCTGGTTTAAGAAATTGAAGAAGAATGACAAGGTACCTTATCAAGAACTATCATAAAATGCCTTTAATAGACATTAACAACAGTCATAAAGCTGTATTTACAAAGCTCATGGACATGCCCGTCATCGCTGACAGGTAAACATTTGAATACAGTTTGAATATGAAAAACAAACCTCACAGAAATATGACAATGTATGTAAATATTTACAATATTTAACAACACATGACCATTTGCTGCTGTACCCAGAAGTTAAACATGCGCAAGAAATGTGGACAATCTTAAAAATAAAAACATGGAATTTAAATGTCACCATCAGACCTCTTACTACATCATGCACGTTGTGATTACAAAATATAATTCACAAACACTGCCAATACTGATTAGAGTGTAACATGTGGAAAGAGAGAGAGAAGTCCTGAGTCCTGGGGTGACTGATGGCTAATGTCATGAAGGAGCAGAGAGAGAAATGAGAAAGACAGATGTCAGAGAAGAGGACACAACCTTCGCCTGAGCGTCAGCTGTTCATCCATCTTGAGGAGGAGGGACAGGAAGTTCCGGTTGGGGTAAATGGCTCGTTTTTGGACGACATGCCTCATAGCATCCCTCAGAGAGAGACGCTGCCGCAACATCAAGTACACCAGGGCCAAAGTGGCTGATCGACTCACACCCATGATGCAGTGCACCAGCACCTTCCCTGTAAAAGCAGGATGGAGAATGTGAAGGAGAACGGAGAAAATGTGAAACAGCTAGGGACAAAATACATAGAGGTTTGATGACTTTACCATCGTTGCTCTTCAGGGCTTTCTGTATGAAGTCAGCTGCAGGTCTGAAGTACTGACTGAGGTCAAAGTGGTCCGAATCCTCTGCTGGGATGCCAAAGTAAACACATGTGTCCCCATAAAAACTCTGGTCACCCATGCTGCCCTGCTTGGAGTGTGCTGCATTCAGGACATGAGTGATGCCAAGCTTATGTAATGTCTTTCTATTCTGTGCCACAGCCCTGGAAAACACACATAAAAAGAGACAAACACGGGGAATAAAAAAAGAAACAGGTTAAACAGCTGCATGTGTCTTATACTTTTAAACACTGTTAAAAACTGATCAATGCCGGTTGCAGAGCTCTATCTGTGAGCTATGTCATTTTCCCCTGCAACAAACATGAGACACTCACACATTTCCTATGTACAGGTTAGGCCAGACTTCATCCACTGGTGTGAGCTCCAAGGTGCAGGAATCCAAAATGAGCTCCAGTTCTTTAATGAGCACCAGGTCCTGTTGCTGGTTGCTCCCTGACATTCTCCCTGGCCACAGACACCAACACTGCTCCTGCTGTCTCTGTCCACTGCCCGTTCACCGCCACCAGAGTCTGCAGCTCAGTGAGAGACATGAGCAGGTGGTCGTTTGAATGCCGCTCGCCTCCAAAATTAGCTGTCTGTGTTCAGTGTGTTCTCTCTGACTGGATGTGGCGTTATTTAATGTTGCTGTAGCATTGACTGGTCTGTTCACAGATGCCAAAGGTTCAAGGGAGGGGAGGACAGGGACTCTCTCTGTGACCACTGAGGTCACATCAGGAGAGGACAAGGGAGGGGAGGGGGCTGGACACAATGTTCACTGTATACAGTACATACAGTAAATGGTACAAACAGAGAAAGTCCTGCATGGTGTAAATGAGGACATTAACTTCAGCCAACTAACACAGGACACATTTCTATGGATTTATCATCCTAGCTTTGTTTTATTTCGGCTCATTCAACCCTTTGTCCTGCAGTTGTCGGTCCAGGGCTATAAGCTGTCGCAGAAAGCCTCTGTTTGGGAAAATCCAGCGTTTCTCTTGCACACAGCGTATAGAGGACAGAAGAGTGAGGCGGTGATGAAGCATCAGGTAAGCTAGGACCAAGGCAGCCGAGCGACTCACACCCACAGCGCAGTGCACAAACACCTTTCCTGGGAGTTCATAAAAGACAAAGACACGAACAAAGAAACTGGAAGGACAGGTGACCCCACCTTTATGGTCATTTATAGTAACTCTTGTGTTGTCTAGCATGCACGTACCTCCTGATGTCAAAGCCAGGTGAATGAACTCGGCTGCCGGGTAGAAAAAAGGTGAAAGGTCAAACGTTGGCAGGTCGTTGGCTGGGACCCCGAAGTATTTCACTGTGGTTCCATAGAAATCATCGCTGCCCTTACAGCACAGTTTCCCATGTGAGGCGTTCAGCACATGAGTGATGCCCAGCTGCCAGAGCCCAAACTTATCATGAGACATAAACCTGCCACAGACACCACATTAATGATGCGTTAATAACAATCCAGAAACACACTGTATATATGAAGTTAAACCAGACACAAGATACTCACATGTCTCCCAGATACAGGTGTGGCCACACCTCGTCTCCATGGCGACAGGAGCGCGGAGCTGAATATAAAACCTCCTCTAGTTCCTGTAGGGACGGGATCTCCCTCTGTGAATCCCCAGTCGCACGAGTGCACTTTCTCTCCTCTTCCGGGTCTGACTCTTGAGTATCACATCTCACCTCTGAGGCATCACCTGTGTTCGACTCTCTGTCAGACATTTTCAAGTTTTGAGGCTGTAAACTCTTCTGTTCAGTCCCCAAATCTGAATGACGCCGCTGCCTGATGCCTTTGCTTTGATTCAGTTTCAGCTGCAGATCCACTTCACTCATCCTGTGACTGTCAAAAACAGGTGGCGCCTTTTGGCACAGGCTCTCCAGTCAAACTCTAAATCATGGAAATGTGTTTACAGCATTACATTTCTTTACATTTCTTTTACATTAAGTTCGAAAACCACTGCTTGTGCTTGTTTTATCCAATTCAAACCAAACAGTCCATGAAATTCATCTGTTTTTCTTTTTTCTTTTTTTTTTAAGGATCTACAGAAACAGCAGCCTGTTAGCGGATCCTTGTTTTTCCCCAATGTGACCAGCAGATGTCAGCGTGCTTTAGGTAGCGGCCCTGCACGACACCACCGGCTCTTCTTCCCTGGTGTTGTTTATTAGCGACTCTTCCTGTTTGATGTTGCCTAGTTGTCACAAGCATGTTGGCCAAGAAGTTCTCCTGTGGGTTGAGACACCAACGGGCAGCTCGTCCACACCCTCTGACAGCACAGTGACAGTGGATTGATGGTAAGAGACGCAGCTACTGTTGAATATAATCTTTTAAAGTAACTTTGAAACGACTAACTTTGTACTTTCTGTAACTTTCTTCTTCTCCACTGAACATATTCCCTCCCACTTGTTCATTTTTGTTTAGAATGATTCTCGTTTAAATAATCACGTTTAAACTTTCCCACACCATCATTAAACATAACTTTTCATCACTCAGAGTTGATCTCATGCTGAAATGTGTCAGTCCGACGGTACACTGTGGGCCTGTGGGGAACAGACTATGAGCCCTTTGTCAAATTGTCTCTGTCTCACACACACTGAAGAGCTTTCTCCGTCACAGCTGTGTGTCACTGCTCGTTGTGACTCACTGTAAGCCAGCCAAACAAGCTGACATGGCACTTATGAATCCCCAAGTAAAGCCTCAGGCCAGAGAAGCTGCAGGATGGTGCCAGTAAAATCTAGAGGCTAGTTAAAAATAACGTTTCTCTCTGGGGAAACTGAGCAGCCAGTCAGGTGAGTCACCTGAGCTTTCAGGCATGTGAATAGGTGATATTGATCTGTTGATTGGCTTAATTTAATTAGGGTTAGGGTTATTGTTCTGTGTGGATCATTCACTGGGAGGCCAGTGATGATCATCAACTTCCATTGTTTATTTTACTCAAATAGATTCAAGTAAGTTACAAAACTCTAAAACTCTAAACTCTAAATCAACCTTCATGACTAGAATACAATATTTAAACTGTATGATGATATTGTAGCATCAACGTTTCAGCTGGTCTTTACAGAATAATCCATTAATTAGCTAAAAAAATTAGCACATTAGTTGATAATGAAAATAATTATTAGTTAATCCTAAAAAACTGGAGTATTTCTCAGATTTAGTACGTAATCACAGAGGAGACCTAGTCTGAAATTCTGTTCAAATAATTAAAGTTTACCTTTCAAAATACCTACCAGCTACGATATGAAAATAGTGGCTCTATATGTATGAACATTTATTGATACCTTGTTGTCTTATTGAATAAGTCAAAGAGTTATCTAAAAGCCAGTAATGTCTCGTGTGTTACTGATAGCTGAAAGCTGCTTACTTTGCTAATTTTAAGTCTGTATCTGATGTCCAGTCAGCAGCAGTACAGCCATGTTGGTTGAACCTTGCACAATCTTTGGAGCAGTAGGGAGTACAGGGTGAGCAGCACTGAACTGAGTTTATCAGAAGGTCAAAGGGCAAAAATGAGAAAAAGGCAAAGCAAAGAAGAGTGATTCACCAGTACGAGAGTCTGTCTGTGGGAGAGGAACTTACAAACTCTGCTGGCATAAACCCTGAATGGTTAGTGAGTCACTGTCTTTTTATTTCATTTCATTTTATTTTATTTTATTTTATTTCATTTTATTATGAAATTATGCCTATGGAGCAGAGAGGATGGTTACGCTCAGTTAGGTTGGATTCCCATTTGTTTTGGTAAACATAGGCTCGCTTTATGTGGATCAGTGTGTCAGTGCATACGTATACTGTAAGCCACTGTACAGTCACTGACCTGAACACAGATGATGTAATAGCACTAAGTAGCCTGCGCTGCTCAGTGCTGGGTCACATCAAGTGAGAGCTCATAGAAGCTTCCCCACAGCAGATTACCTCTACACCTCTACACTGACTCCTTAGTTATAGCGTACCATTTCTGCCACATGCCTACCTTCACAGTATGTATTGGTGACTGTTTTATTGTGCTGAATAATGAATCAGTTAATTGTAACAATTTATCAATTGTTTTAGACATGTGTTAAGTAAAAGTAAAAATTTTTTGAAGTTTCAGCTCTTAAAATGTGAGGAATTGTTGCTTTTCTCAGTTTTATATCATTCAGTACTACAGCTAATGATTATTATTTTTCATTATTGATTACCATTTGGTGTACAAATGTCATAATTTCCCAGATCCCAGGGTGGTGTCTTCAGAGTACATATTTTGTCCAGTCAACAGTCATAAACCCAAAAGCTGGAAACAGAGATTGTTTGGAATTTTCTTCTCAAAAAATGACCATACTGATTAATATATTATCAAAATGGTTGCCTAATAATTGACTCGTCGATTTATCAACTGAGCGTTTCAGCTCTTATATTGTAGATTTGGTGGTTTTAGGAGTGTTGAATGAAGTTGTCAGTGTTGGCTCTGGGAAACTGTGATGGGCATTTTTACTATTTTTTATGACATTTTATAGACTAAAAGATTAAACAAAATTAAAAAATAACTTACAGACCAGTCAATAATGAAAATCATTAGACTTTGCTGCAGTGGTGTCTTACAGACAAGAGAGTAGGTAATTAGTAGCATGCAAATTGACTATTAAGGTCAATGGATTTAAGGCAGAAACAATTGGGTGTGGGAGTGACAAAGACAGTGATGAAATTAAGAGATGGAAAAAGGAAGTCAAAACAGGACATCACATGAGTTTGTATTATCATTATTATCACAATCTTGATCTCTTTGGCTCATTTGAAATCTGAAAGTTTTGTACTTGACCGTGACTTAACACTGTATATGTCTGTGTCTGCAGTGGGCATGGCACCACCAGAGGACAGTGTGAGTGCCTGGACCTGTAAGCAGGTGGCCCAGTGGCTGCAGGAGGAAGGTTTCGGGGAGTATGTGGAGTTATTGTGCACCCAGCACCGCCTGGACGGCCCCAGTCTACTGGCTCTGACTGAGGCGGACCTGCGGGGTCCTCCGCTGGGCCTGACTGTGCTGGGAGACATCAAGAGGTTGACTTTAGCCCTCCGCCGGCTCCAGAGACAGAACCAGGCCCAGCTGGAGGAGCTGGGTCTCCGGCCTTCAGACAGCCTCCCCACTAACCTCTTGCCAGGTGCCGCGGGGGGCGAGTGGAGCTGTGACGGAGCCGACAGGAGGTATAACGGAGGTGATCGCTTGTGTAACGGGACTGAGCTGCGACTGAGGAACGGCGACAGATCTGGATATGGTTCAGGAACGGCTCTGTGTCATGTACACTCCAGTGGGAGGTGTAGGCAGCACCTAGCTGGTAGATTGGACCCAGAGGTGTGGAAGACAGTCATCAGTTCCATATATGTCTTTTTTGTGTTTGGATTCACATCTTTTGTCATGGTCATTGTACATGAGCGTGTCCCGGACATGAGGACATACCCACCGCTGCCTGATATATTCCTGGACAGGTATGGACTATATGTCTTGTGTGCGTTTTGCACTAATAATCAATAGATCCTTGCTCCATGCCTCACTCTTATCTAATCTGCATGCTGATACAGATGTTTTTGTACTCTGACAGTGTTCCCAGAATTCCTTGGGCCTTTGCAATGGCTGAAGCTTGTGGCGTCATCCTGTGTTACATGTTTCTGTTGATCCTGCTCCTTCACAAACACAGGTAGTCCACTGATCCACTCTATCACGGATAGACTATCATATATAATAATAATAATATATATATATATATATTATATATATATATATTTAAGCAAGCATCACTGCTTTGTAATGCAAATATATAGATTTTTTTATCTTAATACTTGTAGGTCATGAAGTGGTGAGAAAGGAATGAAATTTGAGTATTTTTAACATGTTTCAAGTCCAAACTATTATTTTTGTCTCCGTTTCAGGTCTATTCTCTTAAGGCGATTGTGTTCATTGATGGGAACTGTGTTTTTGCTTCGTTGCTGCACCATGTTTGTCACCTCGCTCTCTGTACCAGGGCAGCACCTGAAGTGCGCCAGTAAGGTGGGAAGCACACATGAGATTCTGTGCAGATAAGATAATATTTGCCAGTTGGTAATTCTCCAAACCATTGGCAGTGTTACAGTTTATTCGCCACTCAGCCTTATCGCTTTGCTAACTCATGAACAGCTGACTCATAACCCGGAGTTCTTTGTTCCGCCAGACATATGGTGATACGTGGGGGAAGATACAGAGGGCGTTGGCAATTTGGAGTGGATTTGGAATGACTCTGACTGGTGTCCAAACGTGTGGAGACTACATGTTCAGTGGACACACGGTTGTCATCACATTGCTCAACTTTTTTGTGACCGAATGTGAGTGTTAATACTTTTTGTTTGCCTTGAACTACTGAATGTCAAGCCAACATTATTCTGTACTTTTCTCTCTGTCAACAAATCCCAGGAAAAGATCAAAACCAACAATCTGTCTGTCTCCATACTTTTTCACTTCCCTCCCCTGTCTGTGGCCTCAGTCATAAGCCATTGGTTCCTATTTTAGACATAAATCCTTAAAAAATGTCACAAATATATTGTTTCCATTTAAAAAAAAAAAAAAAGGCTTAGTGATTTTCTGAAACAGCTCGGCACTGTTATTTTAGCAAACTTCACTCAAACAGGAGTAAATAGTGCATTTGTTGTCGTTGTTTTCAGTTGCGGATTAATGCACATGTGATATACTAGTGAGTATTTGCAGCAGCTAGATGGTTTTTCATAGTTTTTAGACAACAGTGGAGTTCAATGGCACACAGGAATAGGCTTCACAGACAGTCCTTGTTGTAGGATCAGTTCATTGTTTTTTTGACCTTCTTTTCACCAGAATCCTGATTCCTTTCAATTGCAGACACTCCACGAACCTGGAATCTGATTCACACCATCTCCTGGGTGTTAAACCTGTTTGGGATTTTCTTCATCCTGGCGGCTCACGAGCACTACTCCATCGACGTGTTCATTGCCTTCTACATCACCACCCGCCTCTTCCTCTACTATCACACTTTAGCCAACACCCGTGCCTACCAGCAGAGCCGGAGGGCGCGCATTTGGTTCCCTATGTTCTCCTTCTTTGAGTGCAACGTGAACGGCCCTGTCCCCAACCAGTATCACTGGCCCTTCAACAAACCTGCCTTCATGAAAGCTCTGATTGGATAAAGAATACTTTAAAACATCAGCAGCTTCAATGCACATGGACTGTAATATGAATTAGAAACTTTTTACTTGAGATGCTGCTTCTTATCTGTGGATGATTGTGAGTTTATTATGTGGGAGTTTTATTTAGCCTCATATGCAAAAATGGATGATCTTTATTTTGTTAAGTAAACTTCTGTTTTTAATGGGAATAGACATTTTGGGGGAAAAAACTAATTTGCTTTCTTTCAGAGAGCGTTAGATGTGAGGATTGATACCACTATCATGTCTGTTCATTAAATAAATGAAGCTAAAGCCAGCCGCTGGTTAGCTTAGTTTAGCTTAGCACAAAGACTGGAACTAGGGGGAAAGCTGTTAGCATGGCTCTATTAGAAGGTAACACTTCCTAGCACCTCTAAAGCGTTTAGTCTGTACAAAAACCAAAGCGTAAAAATGGCTATATATGACTGTGACTACAATATTGCACAGTCACTGCTCCCGGCCAAGAGTTAAACAAGAGATTGTGGATGTTAAACAAATAAGATTTAATATTTTAATGACTGATTTATTATTTTTTTTTACCAGAGCCAGACTAGCTGTTTCCCCCTGTTTCCTAGTCTTTATGCTAAGCTAAGCTAACCATCTGCTGGCTATAACTTCATATTTAACAGCCAGATACTGTATGCAAACATTATCTAACTTCTCATCTGACTCCTCGAAAGCGTAAAAAATATTCCTTATTAATTTATTCCTAAATTAAATTGCACACTGCCAGGTTAGACAAAGAAATGTGGATCATTAAAAGGCCAAAGAGCTGCAGGTGTGGACATTTTTTAGGAGACTTATTTGCCTTTTAAATAATCACATTGATTATATCCATCGTATGGTATATTCCACCTTGGGGATGTTTAAGGTTCACTTGTGGTTTGGGTTGTTAGTCTCACTCGATATTTATTGAAGAAAACTGGTAAGACCTCACACAGCTGTATGCAGGTTGAAAGTGTAGTTGTCACTTTTTGGGAGACGTCATAATGACGTGTTCACATATTGTTTTGCTGCCAGTTTGGTAACTACTACCAAAACAGCTATAGTTTCTTTTGATGTGCAACAGGAAAAACACTTCCTGTTCTCTACTGAAAGAGCTCTGTTTTAGTCACTCAGAAAAAAAATGAATCTTTTTTTTTTTCATTTACACTTAATTGTTGTTTGAACTCTACACCTTTGTTGTATAGTGTCACCATTGGGTTAATATAGTGTGCTTCCTACATTCACAGTTAAACTGAACCAAATATCTGAACATTTATTGTAATGTTCAGTTTTGCCAATGAGTCCTTATTATGATTATTTCTTTATCCTGATTTGATACAGTAGTTATAGTTTTTTATTTTTTACAGGTTGTTAATTATGTAATGAGTATAAAAATGTATGGAGCTGGAGTTTGTTGATGCTTTATTGTTTTCTCTCTGCTGCATAGTACAAAGACTGACTTTTCATTATGACAGTTGTTGATAAAGACTTGGATAACAAAGATTCATATATATATATATATATATATATATATATATATATATACATATTGTTTACTATTTCATGGTTGATCCAAACTATATTTTTAATAATTGTTTACAATTTATGGCTTTATTTTCAGTGCAAATACTCTATCTCTGCCTTTTGGCTCAAAAATCTAAGTTTACAGAAAAGGAAAAACAGTTTTTGTATTTCAGACCAGCTGTTTGCTTGGCTGTTTTTTTCACTAATGTGTTTCTTTTTGCATTTGTTAAATAAAGTGGATTATGACTATAATTTGAAATCCAGCTTGCTTGTGAGTTAGTGGAAAGAACATTACGTATCTATTATGATGAGAATGTCATGATTCAGGTGTGTGATACATTATCAATATAGCCTATATACCTGCTGCTTTGCCCCACCTTAAACAAATATTTGAGTCACATCATTATTTGGACACAAACAAGGATACACATGGGTCCACACATTAATATAAAGCCGTCATCAGAGAGCTCTCGCACACATCGGCATCCTGTTCACCGGGTCACATCACACCTGAGGATGGTAAGTATTTTACACCTCACAATTCAATTGGGGAAATTTGGGAATAAATAAAACTGTCTTCCATGTTCTTAAATCATGATTGAACTTGTAAGTAATTGTAGTGCATAGTTTAGCTTAGTTTAGTGGTGGTGTTGGCAGTAGATTTTCAAATGCAACTCAACAATTTCTACAGACGAGGTGAATTTTAAGACTAATCGCATCTGTCTTGCTGTAAACTGATTGAGTCGATCATTACAAATCACATCTTCTGCAGATTATATTAAGTAATTCTTATTTTTACATTAAGTATGTTGCAGGCAAAATGTCAAAAGTGGCCTTTGGTATAATACTGGATCGGTGGCGATGACAAACGGACGTGATGTACATGCAAATAGCTGTAAATGCAAAAACAGTAAAACATTTTTTAATTCCTTTGCGGGATTCCTGTTATTCCTGTTAAAGCATGAATAAAACCCACCTATTCCTTTACCGTCGTCAACAGGTCTTTAAAGGGTGTGCTAAATGGAGATTAAATAAGTAGAAGTGCATAAACATATTACAGGGACTATAAAACATGCACCATGTTTACAGATGCCATTTTTTTACTCTTTCAGGCGTCTCTCCATGTGTTTCTTTGTCTTCTGGGACTGGTTGCCCTGTGCAACTCTGCCTGTCTGTTTGTGCCGTTAGAGATCAAAGATTTGAATAACCCACCAAAAGGTGAGTGGAAATGATCACAAACAGTAGAGATACAATATGACAGCAGCAAATTTGGAATGGAAACTTTTTCTTCCGCTAGGTTTGACAGAAGTTGGATAAATTAGCATTTAGTACTTCTTCATCAGTCTGGATGTGTTTACTTAACAGATTCCAGCTGAACTAACACTTATCAGAACCACACCTATGCACGCATGGATACACACACACACACACACACACACACACACACACACACACATATAAACACATGCACATGCACAAACACATGCACACATAATTATTCACTGCAGCAGATTTATCAGAGAACGATAAGCGGGTCAACAGCTCCTCTCAAGTGTGATTTTATTTCCTCACATCTAGGCTGTCTGGACAGGGATGGAAAGCAGTACGATTTTGGCTCTCAAGTGGTGATCAACTGCATGTCGTGCTCCTGTACAAATGAAGGCTTCAGCTGCTGCGACATGTAAGATTTTCATGCTTTGATTGATTATGATTAAACAAACCTGTGTTCTCTAGGATTCATTCAAGTGCATCATAGAGGGAGACAAGTTCTCTCATGCCATGTACCAGTAAACTTTGGTTTTTATGCACAGCTGTTTTTGTTTGAAGCACGACGTGATGTGTGTCTTGGTTTGAGTTGGACACCAAAATGTGTGCACCGATAAACAGATCTTATTTATTGCTGAAGTTAGTTATTGCTGCAAGTGTAATTTCCAAAGCTAAAGCTACAAATTTCAGCTCCCTTGGTGAAACAGGTTGGATGTAATTATGCAGGAAGCACTAAGATATTGAAAAAATTTGGAAAAAATAATCTTTGTTTTTTGTCTCTCAGGATCCCTAGTCCAAATACAGTGGAGATTCCTGTGGAGTGTGAGATGATTGTAAATAGGCAGGCCTGCTCTGTCAAGCTGGTGCTGAAGTCAGACAACACAAAGGAGTGTGGCATTGTCTAAACACACTACAAAGTGACCTTCAAACTTGCAATAGGTCTTTTTCATGTTTCACATTTTATCAACTAGTTGATGATGTGCACATACAATGAAATACCAATAAACAAAACTGCTTCCACTCCATTTCTCCTGCTCTTTGTTTCTGTAACAGCACTCACAGCGGGTGTCATTTTTAAGATGTAATTGAATAAATCCACCACTGTGTGACAGCAGAGCTTGGGTGCTCAGAGGGTCTCTGGCAACCACAAGGCTTCAGCAGCTCAATAATAGCCTTGCTTCTAGCCGCTGTCTCTGACAGAAACGTTCTGATTGTTATGATGTTTAGCTCCTCCAACTCTCATCTCTGTGGATTCACACCTGGTCAGACCATCGTTTTTTCTGTCATCCTGGAATCACAGAGACGCTCCACTCTACCAACCCACTACGTAAGTGCTTCATCTTTACTCAGAGTGATATTTGATGAGGAAAATCATTCTTTTATTAGTTAATGAGTTATGAAATGTATGCTGTCTTGTCTCTCCAATGTGAGCTTGTGGCTTGGTGGCCACAGATATGCAGGTTTACCACATGTATCTTCCATAATTAAAAATCTTTTTGACTGGTGCATCCAAACAATAGCAGTCTACAGAAGGCATTTCTTTGGACATGCATCCAAATTTCAGCAGGTAAACTGTGGGAAAAAAAAACAGAAATCAGGGAAACATATTTACCTGATTTACATGAATTTTTCATATACTGTGTGGAGATGTGATTATGTCTTGGGAGGTATCACCCACGATCCCTGACACCTCCAGCAGGGAATAATGAGGTTTGAGTCATAATCTCAGGTTGAGCACACCACTGTGCCGGCTGTTGTTTATTTAGACACATTTATTTACAGTAGGCTATAATTGTGTAATTCATTACAAGCAAAAAAAACATTTTGAAATCCACTTGTTCCGCCCTCCATTATTGCTCATATCTACGGATTTTTAAATTCTAGTCGAACTCATGAAGTTTCCAAACATTCAAAAAAATCAATTTCATGGTGAATTTTTGTGAAATATAATGCAATGGTGGAATCTGGTCCGACAAAAATGATGTGCAGCCATTCTCCCATTTCCCTGTCAGAGAGCACTACTTAGATATGGAGGACAGTTCGCTGAGAAAGAAAATAAGAACATGATAGAGAGCAGTGCCAGGTCACAGTGTTCCTTAGCCTGCAGAAATGTTGCTCTGGAGGGGACTGATCACAAACAGCCACCTGGCGGATGAGCATCCTACAGGGCCACATCACTGTGACATGACAGGCTCAAATTTGCCTTTTAATGTTACATTTTTTTCATTTTTTACTGATGGTGTTTATGGCTCCTCGGCTCTGTTACAGCTGTTTGTTATACATCTGGTTACTTGTGACATTACACTTTCCTTTTCTCCCTGAACAAAGGATGATCAATGCTGTGCCACCCTGCCTGCAGCTCACTCAACACACTGACAGAGTAGGTTAGCAATGATGCAGCGTGAAGTGACCGATAGCTGAGTGTGTGTGCCGTTAATGGAAAATGACAGGCTCATTTTCCTTGCGATGGTGGTTTTCACAGCACATGGCAGAGGTTTCGGGGGAGAGAGTTAGAATCCATTTTTAGGATTCTGACAATGTCGTGCCCTTTCACTTTGACATTCTACACCATTTCTTGTGTACTTGAAAAATAGAAGTCTATGTATGCATAGTAATTTCATTGTCGTTGAAGCTATTGTGTTCAGTCTTGAAACCTGACTGGAGGATTCATTTGTGGGAGGAGGAATGACAGGTCAGATCTTGAGATGTGTAACTAGAAAAGAGAAAAGAGTGATTGTTACTGTCTGACAAAGAACTGAAAATACTCTTTGCAATTGCAGTGTTGCTCAATACAAAATGCTTTTAGTATAGAAAAAACATGACATTGTGTATGTTTTCATTCACTCTCTCAGTGAGGTTTGTGTATATGCTGAGCGAGTATAGTATTAACCATGTTAACCCTTTTAGTTGTGCATGTTAGTAACATTTGCTAAGAAGCACTAACCCTGCATTAAAGTGTTGCAGGAATAATCAGAAAAATGAAATTCCGACTGCGGAAACAACTGCATCACAACATCGCGGACAGAAGTAAATGTTTGGTTGATTATGAGAAATTTTTGATTAATGGTGCAAATTCACATCTTGCATATCTTTTTTGTGCTAACATTTAATTTGTAATATGGTTTTAGGTTGTAACCATTAGTTTCCATCCTAGATAAATTTATTTATGAGGAACAACTCCGATGATAAGGAACACAAATAAACAGCTATCAACATGTTGTTTTAAGACACCGAGTAATAAAATGCAGCACATCTTTGTAGCGTCCATGTTGTTCCATATTCAGACTTGAAGCACATGAACACACCAAAGTTGGAAGACCGACTTCCCTCTCACACTCGGGTAATAGAACCGTCTGAGGAGCATGTGAATGCAGCAAATGTCCAGATGAGGCTGATGGGAATGTCATTTGGTAATAAACCAAAGCACACAGTACATCAGAAAAACTGAAAAATGACCTGATGATGGCGCTACATGAAAAGACAGAATGACCAAAGTTATTACAATTGATCCCTTAGGGGAACATGAATGTCAACTAAATTTTACAGCAATCCATCCAGTAGTTGTTGAGATATTTCAGCTTAGGCCAACTGTCAGACAAACTGACATTGCAATCCCAAGAGCCATACCACTAGCACGGCCAAAAATAGAGCATAAGGGTATGTTTTAATGACAATGCTTTCTTGAACCTAATGTCACAGTGACTTACAGTAAACTGTATAAAGTCCTCACATGTGCCACCTTTCCTCGGCTTCATTCCTCAACAGCCACAGGATGAACTTTGCTTCAATGTGTGCTTCTCTGGTCCTGGTCAGGTCCTTTGAAGCTTTGCGAGTTAATAATGTTTTTTTGTGTTCGTCTCCGTCCGTGCGTTTTCTCCCTTTGTTTCAGATGCACGTTTCCAGAGGGCTGGGATGGACGGTTTGATCCTGGAGGCTGGTGACACTGAAGTCCCGGTGAGATGTCCTTGAGTGGCGACGCGAGCACGAGCCAGTCTTCTCCGTCAACGACAGCTTTGTCTCTGTCCTTGAACAGCTCCACCTCTCCACACTCCCTACCATGGGAGGAGGGAAGAACCAGTCGTGGGTCTGTGCAGGAGCGGCCGGGGAATGAGACCGCGCTTCTCTCAAACCTCTTTGTTCTTGGGCATGAAGAGCAGTGCCATATGTCTCCTGTCATCACAGGGTGTCTAGTCGTGTGGTACAGCATTACAATGGTACTGGGGCTGGTGGGGAACATCGGCCTCATCTGCATCATCACCCGTCGCAGAGAAAAAGTCAATGTCACTAGCATTTTCATCTGCAACCTGTCATTCTCTGACATTCTGGTGTGTGTCTTCTGCCTGCCCTTCACTGTTATATACACACTCATGGACCATTGGGTGTTTGGGTCGCTGTTATGTCGCCTGGTGCCGTTCATCCAGTGTGTCTCTGTGACTGTTTCCGTGCTGTCCCTGGTGTTCATTGCTCTGGAAAGACATCAGCTCATCATTAACCCCTCTGGGTGGAAACCCAGCATTCCCCAGGCCTACATGGCAGTTGTTCTCATTTGGATTCTTGCCTGCTTCACCTCTACGCCTTTCTTGGCCTTTCAGCTACTCACAAATGAGCCCTACGCTAATGTAATCCTGCCCCAGTCTCCACTTCATCACCAAGCCTCTCCTCAGACTTATCTCAATGTATCTCCACCTCAACCTGCCTCTTACACACACAAAAACTCATCTGTGCTGCCACATTCATACCGCACCCTCTTATCATATGTCCCCACAATTCCACATATGGAGGCCTGTCTGGAGCACTGGCCATCCCAGCAACACAGGCTCGCTTACACCACATGGCTCCTGCTTTTCCAGTACTGTGGCCCACTACTGCTGGTCCTGCTCTGTTATGTTAGAGTTTTTGTGCGCCTTCGCCGCCGCAAAGAAATGCTTGACCGGGCCAGGACCCCAGAGAACCATCGCATGACCCACAGCCGCCGAATCAACATCATGCTGGTCGCCCTCATAACGGTCTTTGCTCTTTGTTGGCTGCCGCTCACCATCTTCAATGTGGTGTCAGACTGGAACCAGGAGGCTCTGCCCATCTGCCACCACAACCTGTTGTTCTCTCTCTGCCACCTGTTGGCCATGTCCTCCACCTGCATCAACCCCATAATCTACGGCTTCCTCAACTCCAACTTTCGGCAGGAGGTGAGAGAGGTGCTCCTGCACTGCCGCTGCCGCCCACTTGAGGAAGAGTGTGAGCGCTTCCCCATGTCCACTGTGCACATGGAAGTGTCGCGCACCTCTGTGCCTCTCAGTTGCAGGAGCAACTCTGTCGGACTTTGATGGTACAACCTAAAGGAGACTGCTGTAGTAGTATGTAGCCACATAGACTGTACAGCTGTAAGACTAACTTCTGCTGTTTGTTCTACCTTAAATGACAGTACACCAGTTTTGATAGTGGTTTAAAGTGCAACATTTTTGTCAGTGGTTTGAAGTGAAGTGTGCAGTACAGTGTTGGTTTATCTTATTCTGCAGTAATTCATAATTATAAAAGGAGCGTTTAAATGCAAAAAAAAATCATACAGTTTCTAAAGAATGTGTCATTTTAAACTAATCTGTTGCTGTATCCCAATTACATGTTTCATACTAATTGTAAACAGTATAAACTATATACTATTCATTAAACTATACAGATTTTGTTTTTATAAAAGAAATCAACATATTTAATAATTTTATACTAACAGGAAATGACCATGCTGGGTGTCATTTAAACTACGCAAACACAAAGCAAAATGTTTCTCCTAATATCTTACAACATATAAAGTATGTTGGAACCATACTGCAAGCTGCATATTAGTATGTTATCAACACACAGAGAGGTGACAAGAACTGAGATAATGAGAGACATAAAAGATATATTCATACAGAGGATACGAATAGACCTTTCTCACAGCAGACATTTGGACTTGTCATTGTAGGAGAAGCACAGGTATTACTACTAACATTAACAATGGCTCTGTTGTATTCAACTGCCCTGGTAAGTCACAACAGTGTGACACTGAGCGTGCATAACACTGAAGCAGCTGAAATGGAATCCAGCTATCATTCATTTTATTATTTACACCTATGATTTTCTTACTGACATGTCAATATGTTTTCAGTGTAAAAGGCCTATTGTTTGAAGACTATAAAAAGTATGTGACTGTAGTGAGGCCTTCACAATCACCAGACCTCAACCCAACTGAAAACCTGTGGTAGATTTTGGACAGATGTGTTAAACACCAAATGAGGGAACATCTGTCAGAATAAAGGTGTTCATCCCTCCTGTAGAGTTTCAGAAACTTGTAGAAAGGAACACTGAAGCTGTTCTCGAGGCTTGAGGTGGGCTCACTATTAAGACACCTTCCTGTGTGTTGGTTTTTCACTTAATTTGGCATGGAATATGTTGTTCTGAAAAGTAACACGTGCATTTTGTGATAAATTAGACATATATGTTGAAAATAAGTGGACTGCTGCTGTTGTATTTCTCACATTTTACAGTATTACTATGTTTACTTTTATATTTATGGCATTTGTGCTGTGAAATCAGTATGTGAGCTTAGTGAAGACAAACACACTATTGTGTTTTGTGATTAATGTGACTTTCAGAGGTGAAATGTAACAATTTATAAGATTGTTAAATCAAAGTTTAATAAATAAATAAATGATATCAAATGTTTATGCAAGGCTTTTTATGTATATTAAATTGTGTTAGTTTACCATTTTATTACAATTTGGGGTGTCTTTGTAGATGCACTATCACAAATACTGGCTCAGTCTTTAATATGTCTGAAGTAAATTCTCAGATATCTTCCCTGACATATATATGTGCAGATTACATACCACAGTCTTTCTGCTTAGTCAAAATGCTTGCTCATGACTGTGCATGTATGTGACAAATTAGAATTAATTAATGCTTTCTAAGACTGGATAGTCTGGAGGTTTGTCTCCCAAAATAATGCAGCTATCAAACCAGTTATGCATACTGAATATTGAATATTGTTTGACCCATCTGAGGTAGTGTGTGTCTGCAAACACAATGAAATGTCTGAGGAAGTAGGTAGTAAAAATATACACTTTTGAAATATTTTTGACTTTAGGTAATGATAAGTACTACCAGTGTTCACCAGGTTATACTTGATGGGTCACATCAGCTTTATAACTTGTAGTTTTGAAAGCTTAAATTTGACCTGGACACACACACTAAATGAAATTGTCACCTTAAACTGGCTGCGTAGTTGTTCAACTTCAGTCCAAGACAGTCATCTTTGCTTGAGCTTGCTTACTGTGAGGGAAGTAATTGAGATACTTCTATTCCAGCTCTGCCATTTTCATTTTAAACATCACCTGAAAACAGAATTTTGGTTTAAATGTGTGACATATTTAAACAAGGTTGCCAAACACGAAAAACTGGCAACACACCATATTTTGTCTTTGTTTGATCTAGCTAAGTCACTCTGAAACTTGACCAGAATCCAAACTCATCAAACTATTAATAATGCGAATAAGATTTCACCACTTTTGACCCCTAAAAGTAAGTCGTTATTAACATAGTTATGTGGTTGTCTGTCAAGACGGACTGAATGCTTCTAAAGGTTTACGCCATTCACTGAAAGGAAAGGTGGAAATTGAAGTAGACTTCTTAGAGCGCTGCTCAGGGACACTGCCACAATAACTTTACCCAGTCACTCCTGAGTTGGAAGTGACGTACGTTTCCTCTCAGCCAATGATTGCCGTCTGTCCCAGAATGCTTTGCATCACAAACTGCACGCGCGAACTCTTCACCCTGTTGTCAGGTATTGTATGAAACTGCGCAATTTAAACCTCACTGGCGTATAAAATAAGTACCCGGAAACTACTGAAAAATTCTGGTTGATACCTGTGTTCATGCGTGTGTGCTGCCAATAGTCAAAAACACGTGTAATACGTATGTCAACACATTACAGATGTATTATCCCAAGTTAGCCACAGCAGCGAAATGCTAAGAAAGTTAGGTAGCTCGCCAGTTTAGCAACAAAACGTGGCGAAACTAACATCAATCTTAGCGTTACTTGTCAGGTAGTAGACATTTATAGATGTCAGCTGAAGTCACTGGTGTTTGATCATAAATATGTGCCATAAATATTGTACCTTACACTGAGTAACTTAAAAGATCACCAATATGTTTCATAACCTTCATCGAGTCACAGTTATGTAGCTAACCTAAGTGGCGTGGCTATTACACGATTCTTCACGGCTAAGTTATTTGGTTTATAATATAAAACACTATAAATAAGTTGTGTTTTTAGAAAATACAGGTAGGCGTATGGAGAAAAACATGTTTCCTCCATGTCAGGTTTTCATAGAAACTATACGCCTACTCAATAATGTGCAAAGATTTAAGGGACTTTAAATGTTAAGATTCTTATCCATTGCTCAATATCATGGAGGCGTTTCATCATTTCCAAATTCATTCTACAGCATGACAACGAACCCAAACATACAGCCGGAGTCATAAAGAACTTTCTTCAGGAACAAGCAGTCCTGCAACAGATTGTCTGGCCTCCACAGAGCCCTGCTTTCAACATCAGAATGGGACTACATTAAGAGACAGGATACACTGACACGGCCTAAATCCACAAAAGAACTGTGGCAAGTTCTCCTAACAACTTGGAACAACCCATCTACCAAGTACCTTGAAAAACTGTGCAAGATAGTTGGTGCTGTTTTAAAGGCAAAGGTTGGTCACACCAAATATCGATTGATTGATAAATAAGAACTACTCATGTCATTATTTTTGAAAGCATTCTCACTCTGCTGTTATTTTTTAAAACACAGTACTGTAGCTGCACAGCTCTAAACTGGAAGCTTGTGTCTTCACTGGTTCTGTTATGATTAGTCTATAAGTGATTGGTTGACTGACATAAATTATATTCATCACTCAGGAGCAAAATACATCTTAACAAATGTATTCTGTAGCTTGTTTTTCTTCATATCATATCTTATGAAATGATATCCATAGGAAAATATTATTGCCTGATTGACAGACGGTGTCTGCAGCGTTAAGACAACACTTTGGGCTGTGCCAACTCATGGGTTTTGTCATTACTTTTTATACTTTCTATACCTGTAAGAGTAATTATTTAGTTAATCAAAAATATAATTAGTTGATTGACTATAATAAAAAAAATAATCCTGAGTTGCAGACCTGATATTGACACTGATCAACTGTCAGATAACTTTTTGTGCCTGATTGGTTTAGTCGGCAGATGGACCAAGGACCAATAAAAATTCCTATGCATTGCGAAAACTGATCTTCTATCTCAAAAATGTCTTCATTGGTTTTGTGTAGGTGAATCTTGGAGCTAAAGAGGCTAGTAATGACCACCAGCAGCAACTGTTCAGTTCTTAAAGGTACTGTACATTATCTTAGTTTTTCTGCAGTTTATCCAGGCTGAACTTTATGGCTTATGGTTTAAATTTATCACTCTGTTCAATGTGTCTACAGATGTTGTTGCCTATGTTGACGTGTGGTCATCAGACAAAACAGCAAACTATTCAAAACCATTTGTTCAGCAGCTGCAGGAAATGGGTGCTCAGGTGAGACCACAGAGGGCACATAAACACAGTTGTACTATATTGTATGCCATTTACTGAATTTACAGAGAGCAGATAAATACAATTTGCAAAACCTAAATTTGCCTTTTCTTTTACAGATTTCGAAAACATTCAACAAACAAGTCACACATGTAGTCTTCAGCAACGGTCATTCGGCTACGTGGACAAAGGCCAAGAAAAGTGATGTGAAACTGGTCTCTGTTCTCTGGGTAGTCAGGTAAGAAAGTTGCTTACTTTTTTAACTTCTACAGTTATATGAAGTTTTTTTGATTGTATGGTTATGAAGTTTTACAACATGTTGTTGGGAATCATGTGGCTTATTTTTGGTGAAATGATGTCCAGATGTAACGATGATGGTGTGCGTGCGGATGAAGAGTTGTATCCAGCTTTAAATGAAAGCAATCCTGTGTTAAAGAACAAGAAAGTGAGTAGAGTCAGATTTACATGTGATGTTTATGTTGGTGTCGCAGTTTAAGCTGTCATTGTAAATCAGTGTTGGATTGCTGTTTGTCAAGCCATACATTGTGCTAATTTTGGCTCAGTGATTGAAGTCTTTTCTTCATCTGATCAGAATGTATAAATGAGGTGTCGTGTGATTGTATTGATGATTATAAATGCTAATGTGTCTTAAATACAAAAATCAGGACTTAAAGCATTACACTGTATTAAATTTGAGTCTATTAGCATTTTGAATATTAAGTGGCATTCACTGCTGTGATTAATTCAGTGCACTTGTTCTGGGTTTTGTTTCATACTGCGTGTCACAGTGTTATGTTGCATATACTTAAACAGTGTGTTCATTGTTCATCTTTTCTAAACAAAGTGAGAACATGCCTTTTTAATTGATAATGCTATTTTGACCATAAAAGTATTCAAATGTGCATTAATTTACTTCCTATTGAAAAAAATGATTGTGTTTAATTCAACTAGCATCGCTGCATGCAGCCAAAAGATTCTCCAGAGAGGACACCTGAAAATGACAAGCGCATGAGGAAAAAATTAGATAAGATGATGAAAGACCTCGCTCCAAAACAACCTCTGGGTAAGAGATAATTACACCTTTGGAAATGTTTACTTAAGACCAAAGGATGTAGTTTGTCATCTGACAGTTATTTTTACACAGTTACAGATGTGTCGCCCATCATCATCGATGAAGAGAGTGGAATAGTCTATAGTCCTGCATTGAAAAGATCAGATTATATGGCACAGCGTTTGAAAGACATGAAAGAGAAGCGGGAAAACCTCTCACCCACTGGTATGTGCATCCGCAGGTTTGCAGGCTGATGAACTGATAGGGCCTTAAAAACGTTTCAACACTTTTGAAATGCCAACCAATTCTCTCAAATGTCACTGTCTTTCAGCGTCACAAATGGTTGAATCCTGCTCACCCACTGGACTGAAGCCTACTATTGGGAGCACACCAACTGTCCTCAAATTAATGTGTAAGAACATTTGTGTGATCAATGGAAAGTTGTAGTGTAGTTTCTATCTTTCTCATCTCCCAAGGTCTGTGTCTAAATTTCTAGGGAAGGGAAGTGACAGCATCCTCCTGATACCATATTTGATTTGCATAAATGCAATAGGTAATATGACATAAAGATGTCTAATGTGTTTTCAAAGTGGCTACAAATTGCTGAATATTAAGGATATACATTACAAGCATGTGTCCAGAGTTAGTTGGCAGGTAAAGCAACAAGATGAAGCGATATGTTGAAATATGAGATAGAATTTATAATCAGATTTAGTTTCTTGGGAAGTGCTACATATTTGTCTCTCTAAGCTCCTGAAATAAGAAATTAATGTTTGTAAAAAAAAAAAAAAAAAAAAAAAAACATTTCTCTACTGATTCTGGAGTTATAACGATAAAAATGTACAAATTGGTGAAAATAGGATTTAGTTACTGAATCACAGATTAGTGTGTCTGTGGCATCTTACTGTTTTAAAGCTGCATTAAAATAGTCTGACAGCTAGAGAGAAACTAACAGTAACTGGCAGACACAGAGCAACAATGGCATCCCATTAGAGTCAGCTTCTGAATGTGCAGTATTTACTCGTGTTTTGCCCTCATTTGCTCTGACAGCTCCTAAGAAAAATATCCTGGTCTCTGTAACTTGCTACATAAGCAGTTCTCTTCTTCAGCCCCTTGTTTCCTTCAGCTTTCCACCATTTCACAGTGGGCGTGTAGCGTACAATGTGGATGTGTGAGCTTGTGAAGCACAAGCAGCTGCCTGTGGTTTTATATAGTGGGGCTCAGTGAGAGCCATTGCAAATTCTGCTAAACACGCTGGGAAACAAAAGCAATGAACTGAAAGTGGCTGAGAGATGCATAAAACCTCTAATAATTATTATTCTTTCCTCTATATAGATGACCAGTCGGATGATGATTCCAGTGCTTCTGTTGCTGAACCTGGTTGTTCACCTGATAAAGAAGAAGGGAGAACACATGTTACTGACCACGGCCATAACGAAAAACACCACAGGAAAGGTTCTGAAAAGCCCTGGCTGTCACCCTGCCGTGATGTGCCAAAAAGGATTTCAAGTCCTTTGAAATTTCCTGACCTGAAGGACAAAAAGGACGAAGGATGCAATAGACAAAAAAAGTCAAGAAGGACTTCAGTCAGAAAAAAGCCTGCAGAGAATCACAAATGTGTAGGTTTATTAGAATGTCCTGGCCAGGATACTAGTCCTGACGACAGCAAGAACTTTCAGAAAGAAAAATCACCTAGCCCATTACCTAACAAGTCTAAAAAGGGAAAGCGAAAAATTAAAGCATCTAAATCTTTTACAGAAACTAAGACCAATATTTGTCCTGATGATGTGAATTCTTCCAGTTGCCTCTCATCACCATCTATGTCAGTTGATGCTGCAGTTGGACCGTCAAAAGAAACTGCTGCTCCGTTACAAAAACAGAAAATACACAAACGAGCCAGACCATCACTTTCTGCCTTGGTACGATCTTTCACTCTATCTGGTGAATCTCAGAGTGTTGCCTCAGTTTCAACTGATGGAGATGATAATGTGTTTGAGGACTATTTCTCCCCAGCTAACCACCACCAGCCACCTAAAAGACCTCTAATGTCTAATCTACCTGTGGAGAGGGACGTTCACATTCCTTTTGAGTTGGACTCTGTCCCAATGAAGAGAAAACGAAGAAGTGAAAGCGTTGGATCTGAAACTAACAGTAAAAAGAATAGGAAACTGGAAGAAGGTCAGAGTGGTAGAAATCGCAATCACCAGTCTGATGCACACAGTCATCCACAACATGATGTGGAAGAACCTCGGCCTGGATTGGAGTGTCCAAGTACCAGTGCACCACTGGTGGCTAAAAAGCGAAGACAGAGCACCTTGCCCTTTACAAGCACCAGTACAACTACAAGTGGTGCAGGAAAACAGAGAAGAGCATCTACATTAGTGCAACCGACAATGTTAACGGAGGATAACACAGTATCAGAGCTACAGAAAAACTCTGTCAGTGTCCTTTCTCACACCTTGGAAAGTGAGTAATAAGACTGCCAGAGTTAAAAACATAACATTAATAACAATGAACCCAATACTCAGGTTTCCTTCATCATTATTAACTGAACAAAACTAAATATTACTAATGGTGTTTGAGCTTTCACAGTGGTGGAAGATTTGATTGTAATCTCTGGGTCATGTATTTGGTTTAAAAAGGTTTGCAACATAATTATTGTTTCAGGGATTACTTTACTTTCATTAGTAAATGATTCATTCCAGTTATTTGCTGAAGGTGAATTTTTATTTCTCGATGTCCCATTTTAAAAAGAAGAATAAAGATATAACTTCATTAAAAAATGAGGCCCTTTTATGTGAATATTTTTGTGATTTTCTGTATGTGTTTGTCTTGCAAAGGCCTTATTAGTAATTTAGTCATAAATTTGACATATATGTAAACATATAAGTGTGTGTGTGGATATATGTGTGTGTGCATATACATATGTTTGCATTTGTTTTTCAGTATGTGATAGACTCGCAAACCTGAATATGATAAGTAGTTTCTCAACTGGACAGAGCTTCATATAGAAAATCTGCATTTCATGTTTCTCAACTGAAGCTTTCTTTGCCATTTAAAAACATTACTGATATAAACCAGTTTCACACTATCAGAAATCATTCATTCATTTTGATTTTATGTATTAAGTAGCAGTTTTTAAGTGCTGCACTTTTGGTCATGTTGTGGTTGCTTTGATAACATTTAGATCACAGGTTTATTTGAGTTCCTGTATTGTCTGATTCTGCTCTTATATATGTGAAACTGAGCGTATTTAACATTTCATTGAAAAGGTGCTTACCTTGAACAATATATGAGACCTGAGAATATTTGTTTATGTCTTATTAACCTCATTCTATCAAATAATTATGAATTTGTAATAAATTGAAGAGTCTGTAGTAGTGATGTAATGTCAGCTTTCAGCCATGTGTAAGAGAGCAGAGATGAGCAAACATAAATGCACACACAAACACACAAATAGTGCCTGCTGTGTGATAGCTTAAGTGACACACCCCCGCACTGTTCTCAATTGTTTTTCTTGTTTTCACATGTAGGTAGAGGAAATGAATGTACAGTTGCAGCTGGCTTAACAGAGATCCCCTCTGAAGGTGAAGAAAATCACAATAAGCAAGTCAGCTCGAGTCTTCAGAAAATGGTCAACAAAACAAAGGTAAGAAGACTTGATCGTTTTGAAATGTCTAACTGAGCTGAACTGTGCAGTTGTCTAATTTCAATTATGATGACTGAATTTAAAGACTACTTTTGCACTGAGTCGGACAGTCAACCCAAAAAAAATGCACATTGATAATACATTTCCTACAGTGTTCTGGGGAAAAAAATTGAATGGGATTGCAAAAACAGGATGTTGCGAGTATTAAGTCACCAGTAGGAAGCTTTCTGATTCATTACATACTGCTGTGACATGGCACTGCATTTGTAATAAAAAAAATCTCCTATCTGCTAATTTATATACTCCTTTGTCCACTGTTTACATTTTAGTGTCTGCTAAATTGCAAGTAGTTGACTTTGAGGCAATCCACGTTTTGATATGACATTTCTTTCTCAATTCTTACTTCTAACCAGCAGGAACTTTGCAATGTGCATCTTCCCTCATGAAGGAAAAACAGAAAAGTGAACAAAGTGTAAAAAAAAAAAAAAAAAAAAAAAGCATTTTCTCTGTTCTTCACACTTTCCTCATTCACCTGAGCTTGTACCTTATTTATGTTACGAAACTATTGCAGCTGCAGAAAATGACAAAATCCTGACATTTATGGTTTTCTGTAATATAGGAAGTTTAGGAAGTAAACTAAGCATCTGTGTGTGTGTGTGTGTGTGTGTGTGTGTGTGTGTGTGTGTGAGTGAGAGAGTGATTCCATTTAAAGTATTTCCTCCATAAGGTCATACACTTCCATAGCTGTAGGCGTTTGACGCATCTAGCCAAGAGGTTCTGTCTGGTCCTGAGGGTTTCCTGTGTTTTGCCTCTGTGATGGTAGCGTACAACTTCCTTGCTTGTGAAATGCACCTGGGCTCTGTTTTCGTTACGCTGGTAACCTCAACAAGCTGCAGCTGAAAAAAGCGAAATGTGACGTCATGTTGCTCCAGGGAGCTCCGATGGGTTGACTTTATTGTAGCCAGATTACAGAGATGATGTAGTTGTTTTCTTGGTTCTATGTAAATCATGAGAACAGATTCATATCCAAATATGGTTTTCAAATTTATGCTGTATTGGTAAACACAGCCATCTGTGATGAGCTCTTGAAAGTCACACCTGCATGGCTCATCAATCTTTGAGGTGCAGATGACAAACAATGATAGATTTCACATCACTTAAATTTGGGTGCAAACAAGGCAGATTAGCTGTTCGCAGCTGCTTTTAGTGTGGAGTCTGTTGGAAGTAATACAAATATCAACAGAAATCTTCACACTCATTTTGTTCATTTTTAGCAGGTTAGAAATGCTCAGTAAAAGATGTAGAGGGCGGCCTAGTTGTCTCAGGATACAAACTCTATAACCCAGCCATCTTTTCTTCAAATCCAATACAGACCTTTGTCTGTATCTTTCTCTCCTTATGATTCCTATGTTGCCTTACTGTCATTATCCAGGAAAGACACAGTTCATTAAAAGGAGGTCGACTTTAGTGGTACCCTGCTGGGCTAGTGGCTAAAAGGGGTCTTTGTTGAAATTCCCCATCACTCTCTCATTATTTCTTGTCATCTCTCCACTGTCAGCTCTTCAATAAAGCACAAAAATGCTTTTGTATGTATTTTCTGTCTGTCCTCTCAACCCCGTTTTGATTTCTATAAATTTATCAACCCAGGAAATTACTGAAGTGAGATGAATTTGGTTTGAAGGTAAATTCCTAGTGAGAGATTTCATTCTCTTTTATAAATCCTTTTAAGTCTAAGATTCTTTCAGTAATAGCCAAGAGTCTGAAGCAGTTGCTTTTGACCATGTTCGCAAAACATGTTAACTGATATGAGCTACTGCATGTACCAATGGTATTTTTTGGGTCAGGATTTATGTAAGGTTCTCTTTATGTGTGAGAAGTGGTAATCTGGTGTTTTTACTCTCATCACTGATATTTGTATTTGCCTCTCACAGCCCCAGTTAACCTCCACTTTTGCAGAGACCCAGGATCCTCATCTCTCTTTGATTTTCTGAAAAACGTCATTTTCAGTGGGCACAAAATAGTAGCCATCAAGGAGACCTAGTCATACACTGAAGAATTTCCTTCATTTGTGCTCGGAGGCCCTGCTGCGGTTCACACCAGCTCTTTGTCGGCGGCACATTATGCTCATTCTTCAAGTGCCTGTTTTCTTGTGCTGCTGCCAAAACATGCCCACTGCATAAGATAAGCCAAAGTCCCCTTTGAGGAATCTTCAGGGAATAGCTTCCCATATATTAATTTGTTAGACTGAGTGTAAAAGGCTTCAAAATGAGCAGCTCTTCTAGCCACCTTTTAGCTGTCCTGTAGTGTTAGCCGCAGATAACCCTGTAGTGGATCATTAACAAATTGGAGTATAAAAGTATTTTCCTCTGAAGAAAACTTCTGTCAGGATAACCAAGCAGTAGCAATAATGTGTTGACGCAATGAGTTCACAACTTGCTTATCATGGATAATGTGATGTTTGACTGGTGGGGGCAGGGCTGGTGGGCCATTTTGGCACCACCATGTTCAGCAGGCCTTAACCCCTGACTTCCAGCTGGGGGACCAGATATCAGAGTCTGGTGGGAAAGGACCTGGCGGTCCCGTTCGTAGCTGCTGCTCAGGTGTTTGTGTTGATTATAATTCTCTGTTTTGGGGCCAAAGTACGTGGCTGGATGGACCACAGTCATCAAGTTACAAATTTACAGTTCCGTTTCAGTGGCTCTGAATATGTTTTTCTCGACCCATGGCCTTGGTGTTTGATTTCCTTTTTGGTCTCTACGCAACTATATATCTGGCAGGGTTATTGAAAGTGCATGGCCTGTTTGGCCGTTGGATAATCATCCTTTGACATGTTCAGTGCTGTATCATGCAACAAACCAGCTCACAATACTTACACCCAAAAGAAACATGCATTAAATTCCCAAGGGTCTTTCAGCCATTTTTGGAAATTTATAGACACTGTATTGTCGCTACTTTAAAGCTCAAATTTTTTGTGTTTTGCTTTTACAAACACAAGCCAATAAACTGAAATTAAGCCAAATTTATGCTTATATAAACACTCTAAAGCTTCTCCACATATATTTAATTGTTTGCCAAATTTGTGGATATTGTCATCAATACAAAGCTATGAATACAGACAAAACTAAATTTAAAATCCTCAAGAAAATGTTTGTGTATCAGCTTAATTGATTTAATTCACTGTCTTCTTACGCTAAGCATTTACATTTGTTCACACAATATCAGTTGAACTGTCCAAGATCATTTAGGGAAACAGAAATTTGGTAAAGAAAAGTGTTTTAGCCCTGTCATTAGTTTTGTGTGTTTATTCTTGTTTCAGGCTATGAGAACATTGGTCATGACAAGCATGCCCACTGAGTAAGTACCTCAGACATATAAAACTTTGCCTTTAGATAAATGTCACCACAAAACCTTTAATTCATTGGTGAGCAAGTTGGTAAAAAAATATGTTTTGTTAAATTGTCCGTGTTGGTTGCTCTCTACTCTATTCACCTCCTGTAGGCAGCAGCACACAGTGGTTCAGGTGGTGAAAGCACTGGGTGGTTTTTCAGTCGTTGACCGTGTTTGTGAGAGCACAACTCATGTGGTGTCTGGGGGTCACCGGCGGACTCTCAATATTCTGTTGGGCATAGCTCGTGGCTGCTGGATCCTCTCTTTTGAATGGGTATGTAGTTTATTAATGTTAAGAAGCCATTACATGTTATTTAAGTGTTACACTATCTTCTGTTCTTATTTTTCCTTGAGTAGATTCTCTGGTGTTTGGAGCAAAGGCAGTGGATTCCAGAGGAACCATATGAACTTTCAGACCAATTTCCAGCAGCACAGGTGAGTACCAGTACTAGTCTAGTAGTACTAGTAAAAGTGTCCAGAACACAAATGCTGCCAGCATTAACCTTCACTCTAAACCTCATTATTTTTTCCATTGGTGCAAACAATCAGATATATTGATTTTTGTCAAGTGCAGAGCTTAAGTTAGAGATGTATACAAATACGTTTCTTTTACTGACAGCAGAAAAGTTTGTCATATCTTTCAATTTTATCATAAGAAAGCTTTTTACATTGTGATTATTTTGGCAGATATTACAATATGAGATTTCAGTTGAAATGGTCATTTTTGCATTTCATTTTCACTGAAAGAAATTTAAGTGGTGATGATGTGATTTTTGTAAGGTGTTGTACCAAACAAACATGTTTACATGTTTTGGTACGTCATAAAATTATGATTTGTAGGGAGGGGCCTCTCTGTAGCACCATAACACTTGTGGTGCTAACAATGCACAACAATGTTGTGACACATTTGACCTTTTATCAAATAAGATTTCAGCTCCTGTGATTTTTTTTTTTAAAGCTCCTGCAATTTGGATATTGCACTTGGCCATATTGCGATTTCGATTATATTGCGATTAGTTGTGCAGCCCTAGTGTAAACCATTCATTCATGGTTTAAATTTCTTCAGTTTTACATTAATAATTTTTTCTGTATGTAAATAATATCATCCATATAAATCATCCTATTTCTCACTCAAAACTAATAAATGATCGTAAAACCAAAGCTGAGGAAGTCAGACGGAAACCTGCTATTTTTTATTGCCAGTCATCCATTTTCAGTGTGCTTGTTTTTCCTGAAACATCCTGTATGAAGTGTGAATGTTGCCTCTTCCTGAACTCGTCATTCATGAATCACTGTCCCCTCCTGCCACTGCGAGGGAAGAAATGGGGTCTTGATGCAGACAGATGTCAACAGATTTCCTCTTGAAATGATGTGATGGCTTTTGTTGTGACAGACAAAATATTTTCATGTCCCCAAGGCCATTTACTGCTACTTTACTCCTATGGATGCATCCAACGATTGGCAAAGCACAAGCTTCTCTCTTTTGTTCATATCCTGCACCCTGTGGAGCGTGGTCTTGCCTTCGGCTGCTATCAGTGTCAGTGATAGAAGCTGATGTCAGTAGCATTGTTTAAATTGTCACAGTGAATTTTTCATCTCTCACTTATTCACTCACTTTACACTACACAAAAGAATGATGCTTGACCTCAATGAACTGGCAATAAGATTAAAAGACTGAATCATATATGTCACATGAGGCCAATATTGAAACAGTTTTGTCATTTTTACTTTAACTCAAATCTTTGTGCCCATGAAGGATCTACTGTGACCTTTATAGGAAATGTTACAAATCATTGATCAGGATTGCTTTATGGCTATATGGGATTGACGGGATGTAATCTGATGTACAAATGGTTATCTTATCCATGAGCTGATTCTCAATTAATTTTCCCCAAAGGAACAACAACAAAAGAAAGTGAATTTTGTAGAATTTTGAAGTTTTATTTTGAAATAGAAATTATAAAACATTACAGAAAAAGTTGTGGTGATCTGGCATTTGTGCATTCACCAGACTGTTCATTGTTATAGTGTAGAACAAGGTCATGTTAAATATTCAACTTCAGGTATATAACAGCTGGTAGAGCATTACACTCAGTCACTCTAACAAAACCTAAAGCCAGTGTTTACTGATGAGAAATCAAGCTTCCTCACTTGGACAACTTGTCATAAATTGTGCTTGTTGTAGTTTCAAAAGAGTCATTACATAAATAAAAAAATACATTCCCAAAAGACTGCAAAGAGATCATCGTCATGTATGAGCATGTAGGAAGGTACTGCAGAATTATATTAAAAGATATCCTCTTAGTTTATGTGCAATGAAATCATTAACTAGCTAGGAACTAGGAGGCACTCAAGATCTCTCTGACAAATCTCTATCCTTTTATAATAATGTTAAATATCAGCCTTAAAATCTACATATAAATTAAACAACAAATGTACACACATTCTCTGGAGAAAAACGATCCTAAGAGAAACAATTTCTGTGACATTTTTACATTTGCATTTACATTTTAGGTATTCAACAGAAGATTTTCTTGAACACATAACAATCACTTTGAGCCAGTTGTTTATATGTTGTACCATTGTCTTTTTCCTAAAATGAGCTATTAGCAGCTATTATTCAAAATCTAGTTAAATGGCTGCTTAAACTATATTAAAGAAATTAAGTTAATTAATGTCACATTTTACTCTAGTCTCTCCTGTTTGTTTAGCTAGCTGTCATAACTCAATGTAATTACTATACCCATAGTTACCTATACACACAGACATACGTATTTTCATTTTAGATATTTGTCAGTCCATATTTCACAATTTTTGCAACAACCCATTTCATTAAAATTATTAAACATATAAACATGCACAGAATATGTCTTTTCAAAGGTATGTAACAATGTTTTCATTAAGTGCTTTGGCTTCCTTGAGATTTTTTTACTTTTGGTTTTGTTGTTTGTTGCCGTTTGTCAGGCACAGTTTCCTTCCCACTTTGTTTAATCTGAGAGTGACGGTTCAAAGGGAACCTGTGAAGTCTGCTGGTCTGATCATCATTGTCGTGGACCTCAGTGAATAGCCCGAGCCTTTCCAGTAGTACCATTTGATTCCATTGAAGCGATTCGAGTTTTGGCCTTGTTGGTAATACATCCCATTCAGATTGGAAGGACCGCAGGCATCAAACCACCAACCTAGAATATCAAAACAAACATTATCAATTTAAATGTAACGTTGTCAAAGAAGATAATGTATACAGCTCATGGATGGTGACTGCTGTTGATCACATGGCAAACTAGAATAAAACGAAATATTACTAAATGTAAAGCCCTTTCAGAGCTAAACCATCTTTATGTTGTTTTGTGGTAACTTGAGTCCATTTATCCATGTATTTTTTTAACGGTTACTTGGCTTCTATGGAATGAATAGTATTAATACACTTTCAACTATGTTGCACTTGTAGCTATACTTAAATCAATGCCATGTCATGGCATCACATGAGCAGCTAGTCGAACTGTTAGAAAGTTGCAGTACATTCTTCCGTCATGTCATGGTGTCAAGGCAGGCATTTCACATTTGGCAGCATCAACTCGAATTGGATGTGACAGTGTAATTGCTACTGCTCTTACTGGATTGTCACTTATCCTTGACAAACACCCCTTTTTATTTTAGGTCCCCGTGACACTTCTTTCATCAGTGTCATCAAGTTTTCATCAGTGTGAGCTGGGAAGAGACTGACTCGACTGATAGCTTGGTTGATGAACTTTTAAAGACTCTGGATTGGTGTTTTTATTCAGGAGTAATACCTGTCATATGTAGTCCAAAGAAACAGCATGTATATCTGTAAACAGCATTCAAGTAAAAACCTGAAAACCTAATCTTTCAGTTTAAAATATGCAATGATTGCAGCCAAGATTATGGTTTTACATACTATAATTACACACTGCTGTCAAATGAGGCTTCCACTGAGTTGTCAGTTTATTACTCACTCCTGCAACATTGTCAAACTCGCTCAAAATCTGTGCAGCAGAAACACAGATAGCGTTGTATGTGATCATTTTTCTGCTCCCATTTACATACAGGTTGACTACATTCATTCATATTTTTGTTCATTCAAACCATGCAGTTTCATATTTGTACTCTCTACACTGGGTCAGTACCAGTCAATTCCATTTGTGCATTATGTGCATATTGAGTCCCCTGTGAGAGACGCCTCATGGGAAAAAAGGGATAGGGTTAGCTTTTTCATGCTTTCATGCTCACTTGGCAGACCCCAATACAGAGGGAGACAAACTTCTGGCAGTGGAGTCACTTTCAAGGGAACGGAGGAGGACCTTTTAGCTCTGTTCCCAGGCTATTAATGTCAGCCATTGTAGGGACTGAATTCCCCAATGAGTTGATCAGTGATTAACTCTGAGCTAATTGTGCGCTTTGACCTGGCAACAAAAGTACGGGAGCCCTTAAAATGCCCTTGAAGATTTTCGGAGAAAGTGCCAAGATTTAGGTGGTTGCCGCTTTGCTCCACAACAAGTGCCCAATGCAAATTGATGTGATTTTTCTGTTTTTGTGATGAACAAGTTATTTACAAAAGTGTGTTTCTTACCCCCTGTTGTCAGTTGTGAACATTTGCAAACACATTTGTCATTGTCTGCATCCTTTGTACTGAAATCACTTCCTGGCTGCCCGATGCTGCTTATTTTGCCTGCTGTTCCACTGTAGCCTTTAAGGTGTATCCTGTAGAATGGAAAAGGAAAAATGAAGGAAGAGGAGGAGGAAGTTTGTGACTACTGTTCCTCAAAAGGCAACGTCCAACTCACTCATACAGCTTCACTACAGCTGGATCAAAAAGGGGTTTTGGCATAAGGATTAAGTGTGTGCTCATTAAACTTTTGTTTGATTTTGCTGCTGTTTTTGAATTTAACAAGCAGCTTGATGATTTAATGTTTTGTCATGCAATTCTTGTCTTTTTTTTTCTAAAGGATTTGTGCAATGCTATTTGTGTGAGGTGTTTTGTAGGAGACATAAGTTGCTGAGCCAAGTAACTGAAGACCAAATTGGTCATAGTTAAGGGGGCTTAAGATGTGAATAGAACTGTGTTGAATTGGAGCATTTCAAGGTCTGTTTGCCAAATTCAAAAGAAGTATCCATTCCTCTTTGAAATCAGCTTAGGTTCAGTAGAGAAAATACTTCTGAAGGTTGTGTTATTGCCAAGAGTTGCAGATTGAATGTTAGAAATCCAAGACATTTTATGTTCTTCCTATTTTTCAAATTCTAACAAGTTTTATTACATTTTCTTTGGGCTCATGCCAGCACATCAGCATCAGGAAGAAAATGGTCTTATACAGCAAGAACCAGAACACTATCAGGACTTTCTCTAATGCGTTGTGCAGTAGTAGTAGTAGTAGGTCCGCAATTATGAGCTAGTGTTTACAAAAGGGGTTTTCAGGAGATAAATATGTGCATTATATACCCGAGAGAGATCGCAACTATATTTTGGCGGGTATTGAAGTGCATGGCCTGTTTGGCCGTTGGATAATCATCCTTTGGACAGTTCAGTGCTGTATCTGCAACAACCAGCTCCACAATACTTACACCCAAAAGAAACATGCATTAAATTCCCAAGGGTCTTTCAGCCATTTTTGGAAAATTTATAGACACTGTATTGTCGCTACTTTAAGCTCAAATTTTTTGTGTTTGCTTTTAAAACACAAGCCAATAAACTGAGAATTAAGCCAAATTTATGCTATATATAACACTCTAAGCTTCTCCACATATTATTTAATTGTTTGCCAAATTGTGGATATTGTCATCAATAGCAAGCTTATGAATACAGACAAAATAAATTTAAAATCCTCAAGAAAATGTTTTGTGTATCAGCTTAATTGATTTAATTCACTGTCTTCTTACGCTAAGCATTTACATTTGTTCACACAATATCAGTTGAACTGTCCAAGATCATTTAGGGAAACAGAAATTTGGTAAAAGAAAGTGTTTTAGCCCTGTCATTAGTTTTGTGTGTTTATTCTTGTTTCAGGCTATGAGAACATTGGTCATGACAAGATGCCACATGAGTAAGTACCTCAGACATATAAAACTTTGCCTTTAGATAAATGTCACCACAAAACTTTAATTCATTGGTGAGCAAGTTGGTAAAAAATATGTTTTGTTAAATTGTCCGTGTTGGTTGCTCTCTACTCTATTCACCTCCTGTAGGCAGCAGCACACAGTGGTTCAGGTGGTGAAAGCACTGGGTGGTTTTTCAGTCGTTGACCGTGTTTGTGAGAGACCAAACTCATGTGGTGTCTGGGGGTCACCGGCGGACTCTCAATATTCTGTTGGGCATAGCTCGTGGCTGCTGATCCTCTCTTTTGAATGGGTATGTAGTTTATTAATGTTAAGAAGCCATTACATGTTATTTAAGTGTTACACTATCTCTTGTTCTTATTTTTCCTTGAGTAGATTCTCTGGTGTTTGGAGCAAAGGCAGTGGATTCCAGAGGAACCATATGAACTTTCAGACAAATTTCCAGCAGCACAGGTGAGTACCAGTACTAGTCTAAGTAGTACTAGTAAAAGTGTCCAGAACACAAATGCTTGCAGCATTAACTTCACTCTAAACCTCATTATTTTTTCCATTGGTGCAAACAATCAGATATATTGATTTTTGTCAAGTGCAGAGCTTAAGTTAGAGATGTATACAAATACGTTTCTTTTATGACAGCAGAAAAAGTTTGTCATATTTTTCATTTTATCATAAGAAATCTTTTACATTGCCGATTATTTTGGCAGATATTCAATATGAGATTTCAGTTGAAATGGTCATTTTTGCATTTATTTTCACTGAAAGAAATTTAAGTGGTGATGATGTGATTTTTGTAAGGTGTTGTACCAAACAAACATGTTTACATGTTTTGGTACGTCATAAAATTATGATTTGTAGGGAGGGCCCTCTCTGTAGCACCATAACACTTGTGGTGCTAACAATGCACAACAATGTTGTGACACATTTTACTTTTATCAAATAAGATTTCAGCTCCTGTGATTTTTTTTTTTTAAAGCTCCTGCAATTTGGATATTGCACTTGGCCATATTGCGATTTCGATTATATTTGCGATTAGTTGTGCAGCCTTAGTGTAAACCATTCATTCATGGTTTAAATTTCTTCAGTTTTACATTAATAATTTTTTTCTGTATGTAAATAATATCATCCATATAAATCATCCTATTTCTCACTCAAAACTAATAAATGATCGTAAAACCAAAGCTGAGGAAGTCAGACGGAAACCTGCTATTTTTTATTGCCAGTCATCCATTTTCAGTGTGCTTGTTTTTCCTGAAACATCCTGTATGAAGTGTGAATGTTGCCTCTTCCTGAACTCGTCATTCATGAATCACTGTCCCCTCCTGCACTGCGAGGGAAGAAATGGGGTCTTGATGCAGACAGATGTCAACAGATTTCCTCTTGAAATGATGTGATGGCTTTTGTTGTGACAGAACAAAATATTTTCATGTCCCAAGGCCATTTACTGCTACTTTACTCCTATGGATGCATCCAACGATTGGCAAAGCACAAGCTTCTCTCTTTGTTGTTCATATCCTGCACACCGTGGAGCGTGGTCTTGCCTTCGGCTGCTATCAGTGTCAGTGATAGAAGCTGATGTCAGTAGCATTGTTTAAATTGTCACAGTGAATTTTTTCATCTCTCACTTATTCACTCACTTTACAACTACACAAAGAATGATGCTTGACCTCAATGAACTGGCAATAAGATTAAAAGACTGATATCATATATGTCACATGAGGCCAATATTGAAACAGTTTTGTCATTTTTTACTTTAACTCAAATCTTTGTGCCCATGAAGGATCTACTGTGACCTTTATAGGAAATGTTACAAATCATTGATCAGGATTGCTTTATGGCTATATGGGATTGACGGAATGTAATCTGATGTACAAATGGTTATCTTATCCATGAGCAGATTCTCAATTAATTTCCCCCAAAGGAACAACAACAAAAGAAAGTGAATTTTGTAGAATTTTGAAGTTTTATTTTGAAATAGAAATTATAAAACATTACAGAAAAAGTTGTGGTGATCTGCGATTTGTGCATTCACAGACTGTTTCATTGTTATAGTGTAGAACAAGGTCATGTTAAATATTCAACTTCAGGTATATAACAGCTGGTAGAGCATTAAACTCAGTCACTCTAACAAAAACCTAAAGCCAGTGTTTACTGATGAGAAATCAAGCTTCCTCACTTGGACAACTTGTCATAAATTGTGCTTGTTGTAGTTTCAAAAGAGTCATTACATAAATAAAAAATACATTCCCAAAAGACTGCAAAGAGATCATCGTCATGTATGAGCATGTAGGAAGGTACTGCAGAATTATATTAAAAGATATCCTCTTAGTTTATGTGCAATGATCAATTAACTAGCTAGGAACTAGGAGGCACTCAAGATCTCTCTGACAAATCTCTTATCCTTTATAATAATGTTAAATATCAGCCTTAAAATCTACATATAAAATTAAACACACAAATGTACACACATTCTCTGGAGAAAAACGATCCTAAGAGAAACAATTTCTGTGACATTTTTACATTTGCATTTACATTTTAGGTATTAACAGAAAGATTTTCTTGAACACATAACAATCACTTTGAGCCAGTTGTTTATATGTTGTACCATTGTCTTTTTCCTAAAATGAGCTATTAGCAGCTATTATTAAAATCTAGTTAAATGGCTGCTTAAACTATATTAAAGAAATTAAGTTAATTAATGTCACATTTTACTCTAGTCTCTCCTGTTTGTGTTTAGCTAGCTGTCATAACTCAATGTAATTACTATTACCCATAGTTACTATACACACAGACATACGTATTTTTCATTTTAGATATTTGTCAGTCCATATTTCACAATTTTTGCAACAACCCTTTCATTAAAATTATTAAACATATAAACATGCACAGAATATGTCTTTTCAAAAGGTATGTAACAATGTTTTCATTAAGTGCTTTGGCTTCCTTGAGATTTTTTTACTTTTGGTTTTTGTTGTTTGTTTGCCGTTTGTCAGGCACAGTTTCCTTCCCACTTTGTTTAATCTGAGAGTGACGTTCAAAGGGAACCTGTGAAGTCTGCTGGTCTGATCATCATTGTCGTGGACCTCAGTGAATAGCCCGAGCCTTTCCAGTAGTACATTTGATTCCATTGAAGCGATTCGAGTTTTGGCCTTGTTGGTAATACATCCCATTCAGATTGGAAGGGACCGCAGGCATCAAACCACCAACCTAGAATATCAAAAAACAACATTATCAATTTAAAATGTAACGTTGTCAAAGAAGATAATGTAATACAGCTCATGGATGGTGACTGCTGTTGATCACATGGCAAACTAGAATAAAACGAAATATTACTAAATGTAAAGCCCTTTCAGAGCTAAACCATCTTTATGTTGTTTTGTGGTAACTTGAGTCCATTTATCCATGTATTTTTTTTACACGGTTACTTGGCTTCTATGGAATGAATAGTATTAATACACTTTCAACTATGTTGCACTTGTAGCTATACTTAAATCAATGCCATGTCATGGCATCACATGAGCAGCTAGTCGAACTGTTAGAAAGTTGCAGTACATTCTTCCGTCATGTCATGGTGTCAGCGCAGGCATTTCACATTTGGCAGCATCAACTCGAATTGGATGTGACAGTGTAATTGCTACTGCTCTTACTGGATTGTCACTTATCCTTGACAAACACCCCTTTTTTATTTTAGGTCCCCGTGACACTTCTTTCATCAGTGTCATCAAGTTTTCATCAGTGTGAGCTGGGAAGAGACTGACTCGACTGATAGCTTGGTTTGATGAACTTTTAAAGACTCTGGATTGGTGTTTTTATTCAGGAGTAATACCTGTCATATGTAGTCCAAAGAAACAGCATGTATATCTGTAAACAGCATTCAAGTAAAAACCTGAAAACCTAATCTTTCAGTTTAAAATATGCAATGATTGCAGCCAAGATTATGGTTTTACATACTATAATTACACACTGCTGTCAAATGAGGCTTCCACTGAGTTGTCAGTTTATTACTCACTCCTGCAACATTGTCAAACTCGCTCAAAATCTGTGCAGCAGAAACACAGATAGCGTTGTATGTGATCATTTTCTGCTCCCATTTACATACAGGTTGACTACATTCATTCATATTTTTGTTCATTCAAACCAATGCAGTTTCATATTTGTACTCTCTACACTGGGTCAGTACCAGTCAATTCCATTTTGTGCATATGTGCATATTGAGTCCCCTGTGAGAGAAGCCTCATGGGAAAAAAGGGATAGGGTTAGCTTTTTCATGCTTTCATGCTCACTTGGCAGACCCCAATACAGAGGGAGACAAACTTGTCTGGCAGTGGAGTCACTTTCAAGGGAACGGAGGAGGACCTTTTAGCTCTGTTCCAGGCTATTAATGTCAGCCATTGTAGGGACTGAATTCCCCATGAGTTGATCAGTGATTAACTCTGAGCTAATTGTGCGCTTTGACCTGGCACAAAAGTACGGGAGCCCTTAAAATGCCCTTGAAGATTTTCGGAGAAAGTGCCAAGATTTAGTGGTTGCCGGCTTTGCTCCACAACAAGTGCCCAATGCAAATTGATGTGATTTTTCTGTTTTTGTGATGAACAAGTTATTTACAAAAGTGTGTTTCTTACCCCCTGTTGTCAGTTGTGAACATTTGCAAACACATTTGTCATTGTCTGCATCCTTTGTACTGAAATCACTTCCTGGCTGCCCGATGCTGCTTATTTTGCCTGCTGTTCCACTGTAGCCTTTAGGTGTATCCTGTAGAATGGAAAAGGAAAAATGAAGGAAGAGGAGGAGGAAGTTTGTGACTACTGTTTCCAAAAGGCAACGTCCAACTCACTCATAACAGCTTCACTACAGCTGGATCAAAAAGGGGTTTTGGCATAAGGATTAAGTGTGTGCTCATTAAACTTTTGTTTGATTTTGCTGCTGTTTTTGAATTTAACAAGCAGCTTGATGATTTAATGTTTTGTCATGCAATTCTTGTCTTTTTTTTTCTAAAGGATTTGTGCAATGCTATTTGTGTGAGGTGTTTTGTAGGAGACATAAGTTGCTGAGCCAAGTAACTGAAGACCAAATTGGTCATAGTTAAGGGGGCTTAAGATGTGAATAGAACTGTGTTGAATTGGAGCATTTCAAGGTCTGTTTGCCAAATTCAAAAGAAGTATCCATTCCTCTTTGAAAATCAGCTTAGGTTCAGTAGAGAAAATACTTCTGAAGTTGTGTTATTGCCAAGAGTTGCAGATTGAATGTTAGAAATCCAAGACATTTTATGTTCTTCCTATTTTTCAAACTCTAACAAGTTTTATTACATTTTCTTTGGGCTCATGCCAGCACATCAGCATCAGGAAGAAAATGGTCTTATACAGCTATTAGAAC